TGGTGCTCTGGAGAGCATGTCAGGAAGTACTAACTCTTTTCCTGGTTTGTATTCCAATGTATAGTCATACTTCTGCATTCTTAGTAGGATTCTTTGCAATCTTGGTGGTGCTGATGCCAATGCCTTTTTAACAATGGCCTCAAGGGGCTTGTGATCTGATTCTATGGTGACTTTCTTGCCATAGGTGTATTGGTTGAAACGTTCTAGGCTGAACTGAATAGCTAAGAGCTCTTTTTCTATTTGACCATATCTTGATTCGGCATCAGTGAGGGATCTTGAAGCATATGCAACAGGACGTCCACCTTGTAGTAGCACCCCTCCTAGACTGGTTGGGGAGGCATCACAGCTGATGGTAACAGGAATTTGAACATCAAAAAATCTCAAGACTGGCCCTCCATCTTTGGTTAGGATATTTTTGATTTCTTGTAGTGCTATGTCTTGTTCATATGACCACTGAAATTTGATGTCCTTTCTTAGCAGAATTCTGATAGGCTCAGTGACAGTTGCCAGATTGGGAATGAACTTGCCCAGATAGTTGATAGTTCCAAGGAGTCTTTCTACTCCTTTTTTATCAGTTGGTGCAGGCATGTCGTTTATGGCACGCACCTTTTCATCATCTAGTTTGATTCCTTCTTGCGTGAGTTTGTGACCAATGTAGGTGACTTCTTTGACTTTGAAAATGCACTTTTCTTTGTTTAGGGTTAGGTTAATCTTCTCACATCATTCCAGGACCGCTTGTAGATGATGGTCATGTTTTTCTTCTGTTTCTGCATGCACTATTATGTCATCGATGTCGGTTTCAACTCCTTCCAAGTCGCTCAAGTGTTGACTCATCCGCTTTTGGAAAACTTCTTGGGCAGATGTGATTCCAAATGGAGTGACTTGATAACAGTACCGCCCAAATGGTGTGTTGAAGGTGGTAAGAAGTTGACTTTCTTCATCAAGAGGTATCTGCCAGTATCCTCGGTTAGCATCTAGCTTGGTGAACCATTTTGCATTTGCCATACGTGTAGTGATGTCCTGTATGGTGGGTAGCTGAAAATGTTCCTGTTTTATTGCTTTATTGAGGTGTTTTGGATCTAAACAGATCCGCAGACTACCATTGGGCTTTTCAACGATGGCCATGGAGTTGACCCAGTCTGTGGGTTCTTCTACCTTACGAACAACCCCTTGCTTTTCCATGTCATCCAATTCTTTCTTCACTCGGTTGCAAAGAGCTGCTGGGACAGTTCTAGGTGGGTTTACAACAGGTGTCACAGTAGGGTATATTTCAATGTGGTAAGGTTTTTCCAAACGTCCCAAACCTGTGAACACTTGCTTGTACTTTTGCAGCATTTCTTCTTTCAGTTCTTCGGAGAGCTTCTTAGCTTCCTTTCCTCTGTTTGGTTTGGTTTGGTCTTCTTCTCTCTTTTTTGCCATAGTCACTTTGATTAGACCCAGATCTGTAGATGATGTGAACCCCAATACTCCTGGTTGATTTGTTTCTACTATGTGGAACATCAGCTCCTGTGCGACATCTGTTTTAGATTTCACTGGTAGTTTAGTAGTGCCAAGTACAGTTAGCTTGTCTTCGGAGTAGCTTACTAGATTGTGTGTGCAGGCATTTATCTGTGGGTTGCTACCAACTATCTTCTTTAGGTCTTTAAACGGCATGATGTTAACTTGAGAGCCAGTGTCTATCTTGAGTTTTGTGATATGCCCTTTTACTGGAAGCTTCACATAGCATTCCTCATTGTAGATCTGAATGTCTGTAGTGACAGCTCCTACAAATAGGGTTGAATTAAGATTTTGTTCTTCCTCTTGTTGATCTACGTCCAGTCCATGGACTTTTTTCCGTGATCTGCATACACTCTGGAAGTGATTTCTTTTCTGACAATAGTTGCATGTTTTGCCATATGCAGGACACTCTCTTAGACCATGTTTAGTTCCACAGTTCCAGCAATTGAACTTCTTGCTTGGAGGTCTTTTTTCATCATTAGCTGAGGGTGTCTTTTTGTCTGCAAATTTGTTTTTTCTCTTTTCCAATTCCATGCACTGATGAGTCACAGTCTAGTTCTTTCATTTGAATTTCCGTGGCCTCTGCAGATCGTACTACATCTACTGCTTTTTCGAGTGTAAGGTCTGTCACCCGGAGAAGTCTTTCTCTCGTTTTCGTGTTGTTTACACCAAGTACAATTCGATCCTTGATGAGAGAATTTTTCAATGTTCCAAATTCACATGTTTCACAAAGCTTTTTTAGTATCGTTACATACTGCTCGATACTTTCGCCGCTTTCTTGGGCCCTTGAGAAGAATTTGTATCTTTTGTAGCTGACATTTTTCTTTGGTTCACAGTATTGCTCAAATTTCGACAGTACCTTATCGATTTTCTTGTCATTGTCTTCTTCATCCCAGGTTAGATTGTTGAAAACATCGATAGCATCATTGCCGATAACTGTCAGAAGTGTTGCTACCCTGGTTGTACTGTCCTTCAAGCTTATTCCAGTCGCAATTTCGTAATTTACGTATTTCTGTTTAAATTTCTTCCAGTTGGCCGAGATGTTTCCCCCACTTAACTCGATAGGTTCTGGAGGTGGGAGGCTTAAGTGCATCGCCATTTTGATTGTGTGTTCTTCGATTTCCACTGGTTGTTGTGTTTCTTCAGTGTTTTCTACCTCTTCCGGCGTGTCGAGGAGTGACTGATCCTATGACATGAAGTTGGATCGCCGATGTTGATTGCTCTGAAACGCTGGCTGTTTTTTGTCCAAATTTTCGCTAGATGGATGGTTGAGTTTCTGTTTCTTGTTTTACTCCTGACACCATGTAATATTCTTGATACGAAAACACGATGGATTTTGATAACAGTTTTAATAATTTAAAAATCCAACCTCTTTACAAAACGATGCTCATGTGTTCTCCTCATGTGCATGTCCATAACGTGTAATACCGCTGATCATTACATCACCTATAGTGATATATTGCTGACTATGTACATAATTTATTGGTAAATGAACGTTGAATTACTTTACCTGTGGTGTATAGTCGTCCTTTTGCCTCAAAAATGTTTTTTTTGAGTGATTTTGAATAAGTCTGAGTTCATCGTTAATGTAATACAAAAAAGAAAGACAAGGGTGGAAGCCTTGTTTTGAAAGGGTTCAAGCGCCCGATCGATTTTCCCCCCGAAAATCGCATCGTTCCACTTTCAAACTTCGCAGCATTAAGGTCAAAAGATGCACGACTCTCCTCATACCTTCCAATCAAAAATCCATCCAAACAGACCAAAGCTAGCCCTCGAAGAAAATCAAAATCTAACAGTATTTGAGCACCTGGGGTGTGTAGCAAGATTCTCCTGTGCCAGCCAGAAACCGTCATGCTGATTGCCCTTTTCTGATTGGACGACGTTATTTTGAATTGGATGACGTTATTTTGAATTGGTCAATCAGACATGACAGTTTCTGGCTGGCACTTGAGAATCTTGCCACGCATCCCAGGTGCTCAAATACTGTGGGATTTTGATTTTCTTTGAGGGCTAGCTTTGGTCCGTTTGGATGGATTTTCAGTTGGAAGGTATGAGGTGAATCATGTGAAGTTTGAAAGTGGAGCGATGCAATTTTCAGGGGGAAAATCGCTCGGCCGCTTGAACCCTTTCAAAACAAGGCTTCCACCCTTGTCTTTCTTTTATGCATTACATTAGCGACGAACTCAGACTTATTCAAAATTGCTCAAAAAAAAACATTTTTGAGGCAAAAGGACGACTATACACCACAGGTAAAGTAATTCAATTCGCTTATTTATCAATGATTTATGTACATAGTCAGCAATATATCACTATAGGTGAGGCAAACGGTAAATCTGGTACATTCACCATAAAACAACAGTCGGCTACACAAACAGATTGTATGGGCTCCCTGTGGTGGCAAGACTGCCAGAACCCCAATACATTAATTATGCATAGAGTGTTGCAAAGAAACCTTTATATTTAGTCTTTATGAAATGGGATCATAATTGATGTTTGGAGCTACATGGAAATCTTTCCAGCTTATATTTTGTTTTAGTTTCTTGGAATGCAACCTTGAACCTTTTAATTTAATGGAAAGTGTGCATGTTCCAAAAGAAGTTGAAATTGGTACAGATGAGAAATTGTAATGGAAAATGAAATTGTTTATGAAATTACAACATCTCTTTTACTGACTGACCAGTTTGCTGAGTATGGCAGAACTTGACGAGATCTCACACGTGCAGAGCCATTTTTTGTCGTGTGCACCGCGTGCAACGTGACTGAAAACTCACATGTGCAACCCAGCGTGCATGGTGATCATTGAGTAACAGTGTAAGTAAAAGATACTAAGGCTGAGACTGATTGCCTTTTGTAGCAGTTTTGCTCCAAAAATGGGAAAAACAAGTATTCTTCAAATGTTTTGCATATCTTAGTTTTACAGCTACCGCGTGAAATGCAGTGATTCTTGCATGCAAAATGGAAGTTTACAGAAGGAACTCGTGTGTGCACTTGCCATACTCTGAAAACTGGCTGAGTCTACCATCTATTGAAAACTTCTACTGACTGTTTGCCTGCAAAGTTGCTGGCCCACCTCTCAATCCAGAAACAATTGCTATTTTAGTTGAAACAGCCTTAATAAGGGGTAGAGACTTGGATGTGAAAAGTGAGCACAAGACTAATTTTCTGGTAATTATTTTCTTCGTTATACATTCTAGGATTAAGTTATATGAAATCATTCAGAGGGGTACGACGAAAAGATGGAGGTAATAAGCTGAAAGACTTTCAACTGGGCAACGGACCTTCCAAGCTTTGTCAAGCATTTTGTATTGAGAAGGCTAATCTCAATAAAGAAGACATGGCAACTTCAGAAAGATTCTGGCTTGAGGATGACAGAAATTTTCATGGAAGTCAACTTACTATTGTGACATCAACAAGAATAGGCTTAAACTCCTGTGGACCCGAGTGGGCCCTGAAGCCACTTAGGTTCTACATTTTAGGAAATAAGTGTGTAAGTGTTAGGGACAAGAAAGCTGAATCTGAAGTCCCTTAAACATACTAAAGAAAAGTTTTAATGCATTTTATCTTTTCCCAGTTTGGTATTGATTGAGATCTTAAGCTCAGTTTAAAGCTTAACTTTTTCCTGAGCTGAACCTGATACCCTTGGATTCACTCTTAGAGTGACATAGACAGTAACATAGACTTTAGTGGGGTAAGCATACTGGGCTGGTATCAAAAAAATTTTTAAGTGGAAAAGAAGGAAAATCATATAATGTTTGAGTCAGTTTGCTAGACATAACGTCTCGTAGTCACGTTCGACGCACTAAAAACTACTATAAAACGAATACAAGAATTGTAAAAACGTGTAAAATGGTATATAAAAAGTCACTTGTAAAAATGTAGCGGAATTCCAAATCGATTTCGATCAATTACGATCCTCATCAGTAGTACTCCGCCACGTTCCTGGCCTCGGCCCACAAAATTTCATCACCATATAATGTTTTGAGCAGTGGAAAAAAATTTCCCCTTATTATTATGCAGTCCCCTCCCTTGTTGTCAAGACACCTTGTCATTTTTATGGCTTGCTGATTCTATTTGCACTTGTGGTGTACGATCGTTACTGTAACATTGTTTTTACATTATTACACCCTTCCCATTGTGCACTTTCTCTTTTCCAGCAAAAATTTATTACTGTTAGTACTAAACAGATTACCTCACCCCTGTTTCTCAGGACTAATAATAATAATAATATTGAAGCAAAGTACTTGTCTTCATGGTTCCCTTTATTAAAAGTTAGTTTACTATTTACAATACTGAATTTGTTTCTACAGACACAATGTCTATGATAATTGTCCATGAGTTGTATGTATCAGTTTCTCTTTTAAACAGATTAGTGTAAGAATTGAAAATTCATTTGCTGTGTGGAGAAATTTATGCAAGTACATATTTAAAAACAAAATTAAGAAAATTGATTGCTAACAAAAACAGTTTGATATAAAATACCGTTACTAACCAGAACACATGCCGTGATAATCATATAACTCTACCTTGTCTGCTATAAATTTTTAATCTTCTTCCTCACATCTAAACTTATCAATTGAAAAACTGTCTCTATAAAAGCCAGAACTGTAACTGTAAAATCATTTATCATTGGTCTCCTTTAAATGAATACCACAATTATTTTTCAATAAAATTTATAAGTCTATGCCACTATCAAAAACTATTTGATGGAGCTATTAAAAAAATAATTTGAAAAATTGGACACTTAGGGTTGGTTGATTGATGCAGTTTGAAATTATGATAACTAACAAAATTTTTTCTTATAATAAGTCACTTGAGAAAATAGGCACTGCATATGAGACTTTTTGTACAAGTAAGTTACTTTTGGGTGTGGACTGAAAGGAGTACACAACTGCATTGCAATATTGAGTTTGCCTTCACTCAGAGCACTCTGGATTTCCTTATTAAAAATTATAAATTATGAATGTGGGATACTTATTTGATAATATTATATCTTATATTTCTATTGCAAATCTCAGAGCAACCTAAAATATTCTTCACTCCCAACTAATGATTTTAAAGTACCAAGCAAGTTAATGTGTATTCGTAGACATGATGTAAACTGGAATTAAAAATGTGCAATGAAGCTAATCAAAGTAAATAAGTACTCCAGTGGGTGGTTCTGGTTTTTCTCCCTGATTCTCATGCAATGCTGGTCCCTGTCTTTCATCTTTACTGTGTCTTTCATCTTTATTGTGAACAACAAGCTTCATCTTTCCCTGATAAAACAAAATAAAACTAGTAAGCAAGATTTTAATAATCTCAGTTCGTGTGGCAGGAGACAACATGGAACTTTGCCAAATGAATTGAGGCATGAAGGCTATTCTTCAAAATTCTATCAAGTGTCTCTTGACAATTCCTGATAGTTTTCCACAACCCAGTCATCCTCTTGTGTGGAGACAGCCACTGTGAGAGCAAACTGTCTCATTCTACAAGACAACATAATGACCTGACAAGGGCTTTAAACCAAATCCTTCAAGTGGTTTTCAACCCTTGAATTCCCAAAATCCCATGAGTAATTCTCCCTCTTACTCCCTCACATTTCCTTTTAAGTTACAAAGGAGAATTTGGTGTTCTACCATCTTGCTGACAAACTTGTCCGGTTTCATAACATGTTTGCAAGATAAATTGGAATTGCAAGGAGAGATTGCATGTTCATCACGTCTAGCACTTGAGGGTTAACAGGGAACCCATACACATGTAAGCTTAAATGTTGTAGCCCAAACTTGACTTGCTAATGACACTGTCTGTTCAAACATAATTGTAAATCAACAAGTTTCATTACAAATGATCTGTTCTAACAATTCACTACCAAATATCAACATAACTCACCTGATATTTTCCCCACATTGCAAAGATGTTACTTAGTTTCTCCCCAGGATCCAAGTGTCTGTGCACTATAAAAAGGGATAGAAAGGCTGTTTGGGCAAAAATGGCAGTAACTTACTCAAATGTGATAGCAACTCTGGCTGTAGATTACATGCACCTGTACACATTATTTTCTACAGGGTAAACAAGTCAATTTACACTTTAACTAACAAATGATAATTATGTTGAAGATGCACAAGAAATAGCAGAGCAAGAAAAATTATGAAGTGCACCTGATTGTTTGGACAGTTACATGTACATACATGACGAAAAAAAGCCAGGAAAAATAAAGTGTTTGACATGAGTGAAAAATTGTAGTTAACACTGTGGAGTGACTAGCTTTTGGTGCAAGTAAATTGCCAAATATTTAACAAATGGCAAACACCACAGTGTACACTATTTAGTTATGGATGCACACAGGAGGTTGCTAAGCACAAAAGAAGCTTAAGAGTCACGCAAGGCAATAGCCAAGAGGGACTCTAGCTTCTTGAGTGCTTAGCAAACCTCCCAAGTGCATCCATAACTCAATAGGGTATGCTGTGGTGTTTACCATTTGTTATATAACATAACATTGATACATTGTAGTTAAAGAGTTCCCTTTTATTTAACAAATCTTACATGACCAGAAAAAACAAGCGCGCATGGAAAAATATTAGTCTTTGCATTTGCTCACGCCAGCAGCGTACACCCATGGGCAAATGGGGAATGCTAACTTGACCAATCAGACTGTGCGCTTTACTTTGGCTATGTTATAAAATTTATTGGAATGAAATGATGTTATGGTGCATTGCTGATCAAATAAGATCATAACTTAGTTGAGTCTCACCAGAACCATCTATTGATTCCTCCCACATTTCCAACACTGAGGCATCAATCTGCCCTCCAACAAAACTTCTGTGCCTTGTGTATTGCCTGCACAAAAGTAAAACACAATCATGATTTTCCTAGTAAATACATAATAATGAATGAAGTGCAACTCTATCATAAAATTATTGTTAGTGATCATTGATAGAAAAGATCCACCATCTAGCTGATAAGTTCATGTGTTTTCATCAACTTTTAGCTTGATGTTTTGCCGAGAAATAACAATAATATTATTGGACTGTTTTTGCATGGTGTTCAATCCCTACTTGGAATCTTAAACCAACCAGACTGTTATTTTCCATTACGATTCATTACAATTCAAAAATACAATGTCTAGATTTCTCTTGAGTAGTACAGATACTGATGAGAAAACATTTTCATTTTCTATAATTCCTTCATGTGCTTCAAAGAAGGACAAGTCACTTACTGCATAACATCAGAAATAAGGAAACCTGTTTCAACCTTGCAAGTCTGAAAGTTAACAAACATTCATCAACATTATTATTGTGATGGTAGACGTGTTTTTAAATTAAACAGTACCCTTAAGTGTCTCAAACACTGAACCATTCCTTTAGTACTTGTTCCTCTTACCTTAAATGTCTTGTCTGGTTTAAAGACCTTTAACATTGTCATATCTTCAGTGATGGGTTTCTTGGGAAAACTACCAGTCTATCCAATAAAGAAGTTTTTCACATAAATTTACAAAGCAAACTAATGTATTCTAAAAAGTAAGCATTATTTGGAATATTTTCAACTCAAAGTGAACTTCAGGTCAAAGGATTCAAACATTTTTTACCACCTGATATATTATTACAATATTCAGACTTACAATATTACTACTACAAGGGAACAAAATTCAGTGAAGTTTAACAACAACATTTAAGTGCATACTCACTCACCCAGTCCATCATTTTCTGTTTAATCTCATTCAGTGCTGTGGCCACTGGGATGGGATGAAACTACACCAGAAAGCAAGCAAAATATAACACCAATTATTAAAAACTGGAACATTGGATAATGCAATTCAAGGCTTTTTATTGGCTCAGCCATTATGGTATATGAGCCAATATACCATAATCTAATATCTGTATATTGTAATATCCGGTTTCTTCTTACAAAATAAAGTCAAGAAGATTTGTCTAATATCTTGGGGGTGTTTTTTTAATAAAACAATTATTCCATTCGCGCTTGTTGGATGTGAGATGATTATAGCTAACTTGGCGCTATGTGCCTCGTTGGCTATCTATCATCTCATATCCAATGCATGCTCGTGGAATAATTGTTAAATATTCAAACTGGTTTTAAAAATTCAAAACAAAGAAATAAAAACAACTTTAAACCAATCAACTGTTGAATAGAAGGGCATCAAGTTTGACAACAATCGTAAATCTTTTTATCTTACTGAGAAACTTACCTGTTAACACTGACAACCCCATGAAGACTGTTTTGAAGAGATATGGGTTTATGCATTTAACCCTCATTAAAAGTTACTGTTATAATAATAATTATTATCATAAACACATTTAATAACAACTTGCCTCATTTGTTGCATTGTATGTTGCCATATCAGGTCCTGTGACACATTGAGCTAAAAAATAAAACATTCTTTCTTAGTATGGTGTTACAGTTACTGTGTAAGAGTCTAGTGTGCTACCCATTTGGCCACTATGTCTCTCTCAAAAAAAAATTAATATCAAACTTGAAAGGTAGTCTACATTCATTTTAGTCATGATTGTTTAAGAAATGATTTAAGTTAATGAAAATTACCATCCACAAAGACAAATAGTAATATTCATTATAAAAATATCATAGTATTTATCCTTTTATTGATCAGTAGATTTTTACTGTCACAGTGATGAACATCTCATCAGTTTTATCACCCAGTCAGTCAACCCACTACTGCCAGTGGGTTGCTCAGTCATTAATCATTCTCTATAAAAACCACTTTTTATTCATTTACTAGCATTCAGTTTTCGCTGGTAAGATCCTACCTGGAAACCATCCAAATTTTCCTTTGTAAAGTCCTGGCCACCTTGAAAAGAAACAGAACAAGAAATCCCAAATTCACCAACTTGAAGCTAATCAAATATGAATTTTGATCAGCCTGAAATTACAGTTGTCTTCATGTCTTTCTTGTCTTACCTTATCCTAGCTATTTACACCTTAATATCGGTGCACATATTCTCCATACAGTTCTGTATACACTTTCTGAGGTGCTGACAAGGAGAATTTGTTTAACAATCAAGAGCTTCTTAAGTTAATGATCATTTATTCTAATCTTGTGACCTAATCTTTGATTCATGGGTGACATTGTAAGGAACAGGTCTTAATTTAATTGACAAGAATTTGCTACCTTTCTATGACATCAAGAAATGGTTAGATATTCCAGTCTTCTCGGATAGGGACAAATAAATGGAGGTCCCGTCTCCTGCAGGAGGGGTAGGAGACATTAATTTCCCACGCACGAGATTACTGTGTGATGGATGTCCTTCCCCAGGGTGGGATGGGTGGGTTGGGTTTAGGTGGATGAACCTAGTAGGGGACTACGTGTCCTATTGTTCTTCCACCTGTACAATGTACAAATCCCCAGGGTGGGATGGGTGGGTTGGGGTTAGGTGGATGAACCTAGTAGGGGACTACGTGTCCTTTTGTTCTTCCACCTGTACAATGTACAAATCTTTAGAAATGAAAGAAATGAGAAATTAGATGCTAGTCACTCTTTGAGGGTCAAAGGGATAAAAAGGATTTTACTGAAACCTCAATTAAAATGAATGCCACACTTTATTTCCGCGATTATCAACTTGAAGTTCAGTACTGAAAACATCATTATTATGCATTATATTTGTTTTACTCATATTTTTCTCCAATGAATACAATTGATCACTCTTACCATACTAAGTCAAGTTCACAAACATTACTTGAAAAAAAACCCTGTAAATAAAGAAGTACATTAATTTAATGTCTAACTATAAACAATAATTATAATTAATCACTATTTTTAAAAAATACTCATGACATAGAGAATAATACTCTAATTAGTTTGACTTACTGGAAGCCATAAATTGCCAGCTTTCACTCCAATAACCAGCACTTCTTCACTTTGTCTTAAATTTAATTCTGAAAAATTAAGTTAGAATTTAACCATTAGCACATGATATAATCCTACCATTGAGCATCTTGGTATTACCCTACTAGTGAATAAATTCAGTATCCACTAGAAAAAAAAATAAGAAATGCAAAAAATGACATATTGCAGAGGCCCCTGGCATTACATTATTTTGTTTCTTTGACTTGTTAGGATACAAGCAAAGCAAAGCAGGGCAGGTGAACCAAGCACCATATTATTTTGTTTCTTTGACTTGTTAGGATACAAGCAAAGCAAAGCAGGGCAGGTTAACCAAGCACCATATTATTTTGTTTCTTTGACTTGTTAGGATACAAGCAAAGCAAAGCAGGGCAGGTTAACCAAGCACCATATTATTTTGTTTCTTTGACTTGTTAGGATACAAGCAAAGCAAAGCAGGGCAGGTTAACCAAGCACCATATTATTTTGTTTCTTTGACTTGTTAGGATACAAGCAAAGCAAAGCAGGGCAGGTTAACCAAGCACCATATTATTTTGTTTCTTTGATTTGTTAGGATACAAGCAAAGCAAAGCAGGGCAGGGTAACCAAGCACCATATTAACATTTTTTTTGGGGGGGGGGAGAGGGTAGGGGGTAGGGGTTAGGGAGGTGTTGAAATTGTATACAACATAGCACCAACCAATGGTTTTCAAATACAGTTAAGATTTATTTTATCAATACTTTAGCAACAAACAGCTTGACCCAAAATTACTTATAAACTGCTTAATTTGATCCCTTAATTTTCAAAATAAACACTACCCAAATGAATATATCAAATACACGAAAATGCTAGTTTACCAAAGTCAACAGTCTGATGGTAATCTATCTTGGCATCAAATGAAACTGCTAAGAATTCTTCATCTGGTACAGGCAATCCTTGGAATGACTATAAGGATAAAAACACAATGATACACCCAAATAAGAACAATGAACATCAACAGAACTATTACTAACATAAAAATCAGTTTAACTCTTGAAAACAGTTATAATTGCATGCCATTCAAATACAAAAGTGAAATTTTTCTTTACCTCAACAAATGCCTGTTTTTCTTTCTCAATATGTGTTTTTAGTTTATTCTCCCACTTTTCTTTCTGTCTCTCTGATGGGGCTAAGAACTTGTAAATTTGCGTAGGGGTCCCAAGAATAAACACTGACAGCAAAAAAAAGGAAAATGAGGATTAACAGTTAATATAATGTTATATGTCTGAATTATTCAAAAAATAGAAAATGCTTTCTTCATTTATTTTTATTAATGAACCAATAAAGCAGCATTCTCTTGTACACTATTGTTCACTGCATTCAAACAAAAGAAATTTGATCTCAATCCATTTGTTTTAAGACTAATTTGCCTTGTTTTCTACACACTCTTAGCATCTGGAAATTTTAATCAATTTTAATTTTAATTTAATTTAATTAATTTAATTTAATTTCATTAATTTAATCAAGTTTCATATTGACAAACAAATGACAATTACATCAATTGATTGATCAATCTGAGGTAGGCTTAAAACAAAATACAAGACTCCTTAAAAATAAGCCACCTATTATAACATCATTCATAAAATTAAAAAAAGTCTACATCAATCAAATGCTTATATCTACATCTCCTGTCTGACAGATTACTTTCATAATTTGTATTTAAATGCTATCTTAAATTGTAATTATGAATTCAAAGTATTTGTTTTTGACATAAGTGAAACTATAAGTATTTAAAATGATAATTAAAAACAACAATCTTTAATTCATTAGAAGGGTTACTTATCTAAATGCTGTGGCAAAAAAAAAATGCAAAACAACTGACAGAGTGGGTGTAACTTACTCTTATCTGGTGGATTGGTATAATATGTACTGGGTGATGTTACCCAGGCCTGGACAAGGGAAATGCAGTCCTTCAGTTTGTAAGTTTTCTTCCCTGTTATGCGATTTTCAGATGCCTGAAGAAAATGTAATTAGTTTATTTTAGGGGCCGACCATTTAACTCTTGAGGGGGGTGGGTGATTTTGAAAAAATAGTTCCTGCAAGCGCTTGTTGGAAGAAAAAATTGCATGCAGCCCAAATGTAACAGAAAAAAAAGAACATTTAGAACGGTCCTGCACAGCAGATTACTAGAAAAAAAATTTCTTGATGACCAGAAATCACCCACCCCTCCCCCCCTCAAAAGTTAAATGGTCAGCCCCTTAGTAAAAATCTTCCAAAAATATGTTCTTAGTTACAGTTAAACCAAGTTTAAATGACCTTGCAACATAATTTATGACTGAATGTGACATCAGTTATTAAGAACAATTCTAGAGTTTTGCATACCATGTAAAAAGCAGTGATTTTCATCTTAAATTCTAACCAAAAAAAGCTTGAATTAAATATCCTTACACTGGCCAAACATTATTAAGTTACATACCATGCTAACCAATAAGACATTGTTAAATAAGAAAAGATATCTGCAAGAAAAAAGCACAGTCATTTACCTATAAGTGTAAAATTTATCAAATATATATAATTTTTATACAATTAATCATGATAATTTTCAGCTGTTTGCAGAGCATAACAAATCAAAAGGTAAAAGTGCTTAAATTTGCAATGTACAAGTCTTGAAAATGTTAGGCCAACAAAAGAAAAGACATTGATTTAAGCTGGCCCTTACAGGCAAAGAGGTTAGTTAGTTCATAGACCTAGTAAATCAAAAATAAAAACATATTAACTACAGCTCTCTGACCTTTCAACTGTTTCATGGACCATTCCCCCATCATTAGAACCTGTGGCTTTCTTAGTTACACGTTCAACTTCACCCTCATAAATATATGCACTTAAAAAGAATCAGAAATAACAAACATCCGCATTAACATTGTGCTCATACAGACTGATTTTGTTATTGAAGATTCAACTTGAAAAAAATCATGCATTCAAAAATACTTTTGTTTCACATGTACCTGGTGATAAATGTTTCCCCTAAGGATACAGAGTCTGTTTCACTGTCACTATCACTACTATCGCCATGGTGAGATCCAGGAAGAGTATTTTGTGACCGCATGGCTGTCTGGGCTTGGGAGAGCTTTGGAGACGTCTGAGTTTCAATGCTGTCCATGAGGGGAAGTGAGATTCTGTTGACACAAAGGGAAATTTCCCATAGAATTGCATCATTAAATAAAATCTCTCATTCTGATTGGTTAACAAAGCGAGGTATTTAGCATGGAATTGCGAGTTGAAAATGAGGCCAAGTGATATTGTTTCGCATCTATGTAAACATAACAATTCTAAGTAATACTATTTCCTTTTTTACTCATTTTTATTCAGTTATATGATTCAAGGAAAATCTATTACTTCCCTCATGAATTCCACATTAAATTGCACTTGTAAACCAATATTGCACCAATTGTTTCGCGATTTATGTGATATCGGTTTTCGCGAGGAATTTAATACTGAATTCCCTCATCAAGTAATGAATTTTCCTTTAAAACTGTTATTGAAAGTGACATTTCTGTGCACCAGTCAGACTTTTCTTCACAATTTGAAATCAGCAGAAGTTGTTGAAAATAACAATGTGTTTGAGTATCAGACCTGACAATGAGTCAGCAATCTGAATTATCTTCTTGGCTATATCTTGAGTTCTTGACTAATATTACTAAAGACTAACAATTTGATGAACAAAACAACTCCCTTCTTTGATGCCCAATGATCAACATCCTTAGTATAAATAAATAAATAAATAAATAAATAAATATGTAAATTGAAGCTCTCCCTTAGGGGCTTTTCAGCCACAATGTAAACTATGTGCTTAAAAATCCCCTCTAGCAGGAGGCAGACCAGTGGGCTATTTACAGAGTGCCGGCAGCCAAGGAGTTGATCCAGGAGCAACTGAGAACAAATCCAGTGAGTAGCAGGGTGGAGAACTTGAACCCAGGACACCAGATTACAAGTCCAGCACCCTAACTACTTGGCCACGCCACCTGTATATAGTATAAATATAATAAGCAAATCCAGTACTGATTTTTCATTTATCCAGACAGATTATCAATACTCTGATCCCTTTTTTGTGAATATCAATACTAAGTCACAATCAAGATCTGTTACAACTTTTCCCATAAAGCAAAGCATAATGTACTAGGACATCTATGACCCTATATATTGCACTAAATAAATGAAGCTTTAAAGAATGATAGAATTTAGTGACTCACACATGCATGTGGCAGTTTGAAATGTTGTTGGTTACCTTTAATAGCTTCTTGTAAATACTTTTCACAAATGTTAAGAATGAAGTGCATTGATTTGGGAATATTGATTAATCCTGGCATAATATCAATTAAATGTTATGTACTCAGTTTTATTTTTTGGCTCATTAATACTCATATTGTTGATTATCTGGACTCTAGATTATCTGGACGAATCAGCCCAGTCCCCCAAAATCCAGATAATTGAGGCTCAACCCTTTATTGCTGGCTATTTCCAACCTTTTGAGTGTTTTAGATATACTTGTCATCTGGTCTCTTTCATGTTTCCTATGAAACAAAAAAGGAATTAATTATCAATAATAACTTCATGCCTCAATTCACCAATGTGTCACCAATGGTTTCAAAGAAATGTACAGATCAAGTTGAACAAGAAGCATATTAACTACCTTACTCTGATGCTTACCTTAGACGCACAGACCCATACAACTTTCCTGAAAGTATATCAAACAAATGTTACCACAAAAACACTTTGATCCAAGGGTAATCAGTTAAAAAAAAAATAGTTATCCTTGGTCCTACATCTAAGAAAAACATACACTTATGAAATCACCTGTAGAATACTGCGTGGCAGCTGGTCGAATAAGATTCTGGAAAAATAAAAAAATTCAAATCATTTGTGGGAATAAATAAAAACAATCCAGAAATTTACTGACAATAAATATTGCAATTCATATTAAGAAACACTAATAAATAAAAATCTAAAAAATTAAAAGCACTATTTTATTATTACAGTGACACGAACTCAACCGGGGCCACCCAACGTTTTTTGGCCAATTACAAGACGAGTTTAGAACAAAAAAATTGAAGTTCGTTCATCAACGGTCAAATTAGACTGCTCGTTTGACTGGAGTCGATGTGAAGACATGCGAAAGCTTCTAGTTTTTTACTGTGAAATAAATATGTTGTTTATTTCGTTTACGGTAAAAGCGAATAAATATTTACCTAATAGCGGCCGGTAATTGTGAAGACTGAACAGCCTCAACGTACGTAAGTAACGAATAATGCTGGGTAAACCAATGACATTTATTTTTCGAAACACGGTCTGGAATGTCGGAGACAAGAACTTGTATAATTTACCGAGTATTGCTGCCGGGAATTTTGAAGACTGAACGAACTCAACGTAAATTTACCAAATTACGGCTGAGTAAACTTTTATAACAAAAATTTTTCGAAATAGGGTATGGAGTTTTGAAGAAGAAAGCTTGTATAACTTACCGAATTTTGGGGCCGGGAAGTTTGAAGACTGAAAGGACTCAGACTTAAAGAAATTTACTAAATTACGAACGAGTTAACTTATAAAATATATATTTCGAAACACGGTCTGGAATGTCGAGGATGAAAGCTTATATAATTTACGGAATAATGCGGCTGGGAATATTGAAGACCAAACGGACTCAATACAAATGTATTTGCGGAATTGACACGGCCTGAGATTTTGAAGACGAAACGGTTTTACCTCAAATCAGTAAATGTTTGAAATACTTCCCGACTTTCAAACTACAACGCAAACGGAATCAACCACCGGTAATACATGCAAAAACTAAATTTGAAATTTTCTTTGTCCTTGTGATTGGTTACTAAAATTCTCGGTAAAATTGTAGATACGGCCGTTTTTCAATGATATTTTAAAAATATACTTGTGTTGAGCCGGTTTCGCCTTGAGGTTTAGCCGGCTGTAATTTGATATATTTATTCACATTGATCGAGCCCGTTTCGTGTTCAAAATTCGCGGCCGCAATATTCAGTAAATTACATAAGCTCTCGCCTTCGGCATTCCAGGCCGTGTTTCGGAAAATATATTGTATAAAGTGAGTCGGCCGCAATTTGGTAAATTTAACTTTAGTCAGTTTAGTGTTCGAAATTACCGGCCGCCATCCGTTAAATATTTATTCACCTTTACCGTAATAGAAACGAAAAATATTATATTTTTTTGCTTTAAAAAAACTATAAGCTTTCGCATACCTTCACATCTCATCTAGTCAAACGAACAGTGAAATTTGACCCTTATAGTGATCGATCCGCTGATGAACGAACTTCAATATTTTTATTCTAAACTCGTCTTGTGATTGGCTAAAAAACGTTGGGTGGCCCCGGTTGAGTTCGTGTCACTGTAATATAATAATTTTCATTTTACTCACCAATTCATCATTGGGGAAACTCTTCATTACTTCAACAACTTTTGTCTCATTCTCTATTTGACGAATGTGTTCATTTAAGGCTTCTGCAGTCTAAACATTACAAATATGTAAAATTAATTAATTCACTAAATAAATGAAATTGTAACAATTACTGCATTCATTACAAGTAGTTGTAACAATTTATGAAAAAATTATTTGAGACAGATCTAATTAGAATATCAAGCCTCACCTGAAGATGTTAAGTGACATTTGCACTGCATTAATTTATTGAATATTGAACATGACTGTTAAACCAGAGGATGATGGATAAAAAAAGTATTGTTAACCAAAAAATTAACTACATCCACCTTCTGAGCTTTGCTTTGAGCCTCCTTCAAATTCTCATAATCTGGGTGATCCTGGAATTAATAAAAACCAAAACATACATAAAACAAATCACATGTCAGTAAAGAATTTAGCCATGAAATTAAAGGCACATCACTTAATAATTTTGATCATTTTAATTTGAACACAATTATTTGCCTATCAAACTACAAGGTGTGACATATATCTCACCTCATGTGTTCTTTTCACTAGTTCCTTTAATATCAATTCATATCTGGGAACTCTCTGAAAACATACAGATTCAACCAGCCCATCAATTAGAAGAAATTTAGCAGCAAACCTAGTACTTGAAACAGTTTATAGGTCAGGTAAAGTAAGTCTGTACTCAAACCAAGGGCTCCCCCCCCCCCCCCCCAATGTAGGAGTGCTTTTCCCTGTTTCCATAGCGTGATGTGACTAGGAGTATCGCTACTCCTGGATGGGATGCTAGTTCATCACAAGGTTACCCCCCCTGCATTTCATCAAGCCTCCCATTCTACTCCTGAGAGGAGACGGGCATGGTGAAAGTGAAGTGTCTTGCCAATGAACACAACTCATTGACCTGGGCAGGTCTTGAACCCAAAACATTCAACTCAGAGTGTACTGCACTGACCAGGCCTCCAAATCTCCCAGTCAGTTAATAAGTACTTACTAAGGTGTCCTAGAAGAAGGTAAATAAAAACAATCATACAGGTGTCATAGTGCAAATTCATGATTAAATAGTCAGAGCATATTACCTGTATTGGCATAAGTAACAGTGAGTCAAGGGTATGATTGCAGCTGACCTGGGAAAGAAGTCAAAGAAATCATTATAATTATAAACATTAATATATATAACACCTGATCATGATGATCCCACAAACTAATTACATCCGTTTATGAAGTAAAGATCCTTTCCTTAAAATTAGCACAATATATTTTAAATTAGTTTTTATTTAAATCAACTACAACTGTGCATATTAATTTATTTAAGAAGAGTGAGTCTCACCTTGGCCAGAAAATTTCTGAACTTCTCATTGTTCTTCTCTAGTTTCATTTTGACCTAGATGTCAAAAAACATTTATTGTCAGTAACCCTATGTTGAATTTCATAATATATCTAGAGACAAAATAGCTGACACATTCCCATTTGCAAAATTTGAAAAAAGTTTCCAAAACAGTGCCAAGTGATTCCCCTATATTCTTATTTTCATCCACCTTCCCACATCCAATTATGCACTTTGACTTCTGAAAATGTCCTCAATCAAGAGGGGAAAGGCAGCATTGCTTCAAAGTCAGGAAAATTTCAGACTATACATTTAATTCAGAATTAAGCCTTGAAAATAAAAAAAAATGGTCTGCACTGGTTCAAAACATTCTAAACCAAAGAAAAAATTAACCACTCCTAACTATAATCATTATCATAATGGTAAATTTAATCAATTATAACTCTTGTTATCAAATGATCTGTGCTGCCCCACATGTAGTTCTACAGAAAACAACTGTGAAAGCTGATGAGTATATGACCAGACCAGTTGCCCTCCCATTAAGTAAATAAGTACATATTATGACTTTCATACCTCATTCCCTCTCTTCCTTGACTTGAAATATGGTTCAAACATCATCAAATAGGAAAACTGCATCAAAAAGACAAAGAGGACTATCATTTTTAGCTCAGCTAATTTCTAATTTCTAGTTACAAAAACTGTCAGTACTATCTTACTTACAGCAAAAAATCTTCCCTTCTAATTCTTAATAGATCATAACATACCATTTCTACAAGAACATCTCCAATCAAAGTTGTATTAACATCCCAGTGAGCTAAACGTGTTTGCAGTTTAGCAACCAGCTCTTTACTAATGGATTCTAAGGACTGAAATGAAAGCAATCCAATTAAAATTGTTGTTGTTATTGTTATCATTGTTTTTGCCACTAGTTTCAAGCTGTCAGTATGTTCCTAATGAATCAGAAGGCAGTGTTACAAGTGCTACAAAGAAGGGAGATGAGGAGTTTTACCTCTGCATTGGCAAAAATTTTCTTTATGTCTTCATTAGAAATAATGCGAAGTTTTCTCAGAGGCCTGATATAATGCTGTAAAGTAAATAATGGTTGTTAGTCACTCAAATATTGCTCCTTGGCAGTCAAGTTGTAAGAACTATTATATCAGATATGACTTTCCAGAAATAGAGTATGGATGTACATGGAACAAACCAACAGAAAATATTAGCTTATTAAATATAATTAGTAATCATGCAGTTCTACTTTCATTCTTATTGTTGATAATATTTTGGACAGTTAATCATAAATTTTTGAACCCACAGAGTTAACAGCTTATCTTGAATACTTTAAAATACAAACCCCCGAAAGGAGATTTAAGCCATTGAAGTAAGACACCTCTGATGTCAAGAGTTCCTGGAAAGAAACACAATTTCATCAAATCAAAAACATTCAGTTCAATCAAACTCACAAAAAACACATTCAAAGAACTTATAAAATCAAGAGTTGTATAATTTTATTACTGACATTAAATAATGAATTTTGTTCTTGTAATATTCAGTAAACAATACATAAACTAGCAGCCTGTAGTTTAATAGTTCCACAAAACCTTGGTCTACACACATTTGTGCTGTGTATTCTACATGTGTGTCCATGTAGAAGTAACATGTCTCAAAACAAGAAAATTATAAAATTTCCTGTACCATTGCAGCTCTTGTTCTTTTTCGTTCCTCTGATTCTGTGGTTCAAAAACAAAATAGGAGACAAATAAGTTATTATAAGAGACTTCACAGTTTCTTTTTGGTAACCTTAAGTGTGTAAATTTTTCTGCACTTCCTGTATTGCCAAAGGCAGGCACTGGTATCATGAAGACCTGTGTAGAAATTGTAATCACCAATATCTCCTGCACCAGTTGTGAAAACATACTAAGTCACTATTACAAAGAGAAATCCTTTCCAGGAGCTTGTCTGACTAGAAGGATAATCCTTCAAGATCAACCTTGAACAAGACATTTAATGTCACTGTCAGCAATACCTTCTCCTTCCTGTCCCATTTGTTCAGCAATTATATTCAGTCCATGGAAAGAGGTTAGAGGACCAGGACTCAGATTATCACTGTTATGTGAATCAGATCTGTTCAGTTCATTATTATGATTGGCATCGGGTTGTCTGCCTTCCATGTCCTCACACTGATCATCAGTTCCATTAGCTTCGGATGTCAGCTTGGTCCGATCATTTTGTAAATCTTCAAGAACTTTTGAGTTTCCCTCTGATGTTGGTGAAGGTAAGTCCTGCCTGATAAGGAAAATATAAATGTGTTGGTTTGATGGATTTTTGTTGAGCAATAATATCTTCACTGGTAGTGACAAGTAATGGTAAGAGTGAATTTGAAACTTGGAACTTTCACAATATTTCAGTCTCTGAATTAAATTACAACCCCTACTCAATATTTCAAATGGCTAACTGTTCTTCTTATCACAACAGTATTTAATCAATTACTGAAACTCCTTGTCTAAACAAGCTAGTTGTTATCTACCACAAAAAATAAAAAAAAAAAATTAAGTGTCAAACTTGCTAAAAATGGCTTGTTATTATCTTTGATTTACCACTCTAAATTTCCAATTTCACTTGAATCTTTTTCAACAAAATTCCCTGGAAAACAACCAGCCTGATGAAAACAAAAATAATAATCAACATTTAAAACTTGTTCATTTTATTTCCATTAACAGGATTAAAAGTCCTACAATTTCATTAACTAGATGCAAGCAATAGTGCTGTTCAGTGACATGTACATCACCTATGTGTATAACAGTAAGTAGATATAGGAGAATATGCTAAGACATGTTTGTGAGCAATACCTGATAACCTCTGTAACGGATGCCGCGGTACCAGCCATCTTGATACTTCTTCACCACAAAAACAATATCCCCCTTAAGTAAAATATAATGAATTATTATTCATCATAGTAAAGTCATCTGTGATCAGAAGCATGGCAACATGGAAATTCATTTGTTACATAGAATGTTAAAGGAGGGTAACAAGTAATTTACCTTAGACAAAGCAATTTCATCTTTTTTTGATGGTTCAAAGTCCCACACAGCTATAAACTGTTCAAGATTCCTGCAAAAAAAAGTCAAGAAAAGATTTAATTAATTAACATTAAATTATGGGCAAATACCAGCAAAATAAAATTTTTCACTTTTTAATGATCACGTAAGAAAGTGATATGGAAAAAATTCATTAAAATGCTTATTTGTCAATAGTCGCTAGATCACTTGGAAAAAAAAACTACTGGAAAATGAAATTATGTCATGCATGCACTTAAAATAAACAGCCAACAAAAATTGAAAGTATACTGACTTTTCCACCGACTTGTAAAATATAAATTTAAGTCTTCTAGTCTTCTACATCAAAGTTCAATAAATCAGACCTTCTACGATTATACATTTTGGCCGATTAGTGAAAGTAGGGGTTTAAGAAACAACTGGTTCGGGACGTCTTGGACCAAGATTTAGAGCTTCGGCTTCGCTGGGAGGGTAACTGAGAGAAAAGTAATACCTCACGTTTCAGCTGAAGCCTTCATTGTAATTATTTAATTTCTCTGTTCAAAATTAAAAGGGATAAAAGTACAATAAACATGTTGACAGCGCACAATAACTGCCCATTATCATTACAACGATATCCTTTGCTGTGCTAATCAGCTGATATCATTGCAATGGCATTTTAGAACCTTAAACCAGCTGAAGGCTAACAATTCTTACAAAAGCCTCTAATTGTTCCGCTTTCTTTTCATTCATGATCAAAGAGTTCAGCACTAGTTATCAAACCTTGATAATCTTGACTGATCCGTGTCCAATCGTTCGTGATCCATCGCTGGTTTGTTTGGATTTCAGCAGCGTCCTGTACTATGCCAGCTGTTTCTTGACGATCCAAAACAAAACGTCCATCGAGGAACGTAAAAAAACTCTACGTTTACGCTGCAGTGGGAGGCACAAACACTTTCCAAGTGTTTGCTGTGCACAGAGTCCTTAACTTGTCCCTAAATCGATAGGAATCACAGTCTCTCAAAGGAAGACGTCGTGACCAATATCATGTATCAAATATCATGATTGACTGCGAGTGACCGGCCAAACAGAGCGTGAGTGATCGATCTTATAATCTCAACTCTAAGTGGAATCAAAATGTCCTGATAACATTCAAAGTGAGTTTACAGTGCGCAAACAAATCATTCAAGGGAAATAGACCAGTACCTTGAATTTTTGAAGCCGGAAGAATAAATATTGTCGTTGGACAAGTTCTTCAAAATTCGCGGTGAAAGTAAATCTGCGAAGGAATGTGGAAAACTTCACTTTCGGAAATACACGACTTCTCACGACAATGGAACCGAAAATTATGCGAAACAGCATTCGTTCATTTTTCATGACGTCATAAAAATTACCAGTTCCGTTTGTATGATAACCCCCTCCAAAAGGTCAAACATTTTCGAAGGGGGTGTGCAAATAATCAGTAATTTCAATGCTTTATTCGTCGGAAAGCAATTTAGCCCTTGCGGTTTTTTTTCGTCACAGAGAGTGTCTAGCTGTATAGCAAGTGACCGACAACGCCAACAGAGAATGGCTTGCCTGGCGTCCTGTGGGAAAGCACGCTCCCGTTGGAGCTAGTAAGTAACACGCCCACAACAGACTAGTTTATCCAACCTTTCTTTCACTTTCGGTTTTCAAAAGCATGAAATAACTGTCAAAAGAATTCTTCAATACTCCGGCGCATTTCACACGGAAAAAGAATTTTTTTTCCTGTCTTTATTAGCATACCAGAGAAAATTTATCACTAGTATAATGCGAGTCCAGATATTTCCGGAAAAGTCGTTGAAATCATTAAAGATCACAAAACCATGCTGAAAATATTCGTCTTAATCGGCCAACTTCTCCACCCTGAAAATTCTGCCAAAGAAGCGAAACAATTAACGGAAGCTGCACTCATTGCCGGTGTTATTCAATCAGACGGAAGCTTTGTATCGGCTTAAGGAAACAATGGTTGAATAAAGCTTAAGTCCCGGCAATGGGCAGCTTTGTCACAGGATTCTTCGTGTGCCGTCATAGCTTTAATGGTCATATATGTACTTATTTATCTTAATCAGTACCGAGAAACACGTATGTACCTTAAAGATGTAGAAGAAAAATATGCTCCATACTTCCCTGAGAAATTTTGTTTTTTGACCCCTTCCACTCCTATTTCTTTCGAATTTCTAATGACTCTTGGCCTGGATGGTATTTATTTATTGTTCAATTTTTCAAAGCGCAGTTTTAAAGAGACAAGTTAAATGATAGGCCTAGAACTATTTGAAGTGCATCGTGGCTATGTTTACTATTAAAGTTCCTCATGAACAACTGCATAATCATCGAGCACGTTATTCGTCTGAACAGTCACGCCATTGACGGTATCAGCGATAATTTGAGCTTTCTCCTTACCACTCAGGTAAGCCCCTTGCATATACCCGTGCCATTCCTCACTCGTCGCTTCTCCCGCGAAATATAGCCGACCCAGTCTTCTCCCGAGGTTAATGAAATCGTGTGAGGTTGTGCCAACCACTGGCTCACTATACGAACCTTGTGTGAACTTATCTTGAGACCAACGATTATAGAATATTGCTGACAAAACAAAACAGAAAACAAAATACAGTTTGACGATTGAATGGACGAAAGTAGCAACTGAGCTAATACAACAATTCAGCTTACTTGAGAAGGGGACAGAGACAGACAGACAGACAGACAGACAGACAGAGAGGGACTGGAGACAGAGAGGGGGAGAGAGAAGGAGTGAGGGAAAGAGAGCGAGCAAAACTTTGTTTTACCTCCCCTTCGATATTGGTAATGCTTTCCAATGCTCTACTCATAGCGTTCAAGTCTAAGGTGACATAACTAAAAACCTTCCTTAAAAAAAGTGCCTACTCACTTAAATCTATATGTTTTTTTGTCCTCAGATTTGAAATAAATCTGACATATCTACATACCTGATGGATTCGGAATTTTTTCTCCATAAACCTTTTTCAATGTAGTCATGACCTCAGCCTTTGTTTCCTCGTCTGTTTTTTCCTCAATCCTCCTTCCTTCATCTCCAGTTACAGTAATCAGTAAAATTCCACTCCCATTTGGCAACATTCCCGGTCTTTCCAAATCCTGGAGTATTGGGAAGTATCCGCGCCTTTTAGAAGCGTGTAAAATGTATTCATGATCATCCCAGAATTTTCTTGGAAACTTCAAAAAAATCTTCGTGTACACAGACATAGGGTTTTTATAAATTGCTTCTTGCTTCCACTCTGGGAGGGGAGGGTCAAAAGTCAGAGCGTCACTAGCTAAGACTCTAGAGCTGAATGTGCAAAGAACATAGTCGGCCACAAAAGTTTTGTTACTTTTTGTTTGAACCTCCACCGAGTCATTAGTGTAAGATATCTTTTCAACAGTTTCCCAGAGTAAGATATGTTTTTCTAAAGGTTTGTATAGATCTTCATACAGAGACCATAATCCTTTTGAGTCTGAAACAAAGAAGTCGTTTCCTCGACTGAGAAGCTGATAAAATGAAACTAATTCAGGTGGTCTCGCATGCTCAAAGTCAAGTCTCGAGTACTCAAGCACTTTTTCAATCGGTTGACGGCTTTTCCATCCCATTAGCTGTAGGCCAACCCGAGCTGGAATGTCAGGTAGGTTGTTAACTTTTCTGATCTTCTGGAAATGTTCTATTTTTTTTTTCAATTTCATCGTCAAATCTGCGCACAACTTGCCAGTCTGTGACGTCTCGGCCGCTCTCGTCTCTGTAGTAGAGTAAGAAATCAAACCAAGTTTCCCTTGTTCAGTTCAAAAGAATTTCCAATAAAATAAAAGAACTGTTTTCATGTCTTTTTTTTTTTTTTTTGTAATGTGTACGCTTCAAAAGAAAAGCTATATACAGTGTGAGTGATATAAGCGCCTAACGATCACTCTGGGCCTCATAGTAACGGAGATTCCAGTTGGACGATCTTTGTTGCGGCTACTCTGGCGGCAAACTAACTTGTCATATGCAGGGTAATTTTGTTTTATACTCCTCGCTACGGTTGTTCAAAGGGCGGATAGCGCTATCGAACGGATAAATCGCTATCCAGCGGATAAGTGTTACCAAAACGTACTGCGCTATCCACCGGATAGAGGTTTATCCAGTGTATAGCGTTATCCATCCTTCGAACAACCGGGGCCTGTACAATACGTTGACCTCAATTGCATCCCCATTCTCTCCCTCACGAGAAATGGTTATTAAAGTGAAGAACCCTGACAACGAATAAAACGTTTTTAATCCATGCACTGAGGCCAGGGGCCCGTTTCTCGAAAGTCCCGGTAACTTAATAGACCCGGAACCATATTTTAAAATCAAAGTAATCAATAAAGAAATAGGTCCTGGCACCCTAACCAGGCCATTTTGTTTCTTTGGCTGCTAGTTTTATCGTATAATTTTCAAAACGTTTGAAACCCCCACCTAGAATGAAAACAGAACAGCTTTACGGGCCCGTTAAGGTTACTTCCCACCTTCGTGCATGGGTGTTCTTCGGGAAAGAATTCACACGTACGCGCGCTAGTTTCAAGAAAATCCTGACAGACTATACATCAAAAGAAAGCTTAATAAATGCAGTTTACAATAAAAGTACAATTTAGGCGATAGTTTCATTTGGGGAGTGTCAGGATCCGGCAAGGCGTGAAACGACCGAGGGTCCTTCTATTGAATATATCGGATATCGGATCCCGCAGCACGAGCAAAATGGCTGCACAGTCTTATTCACAAGGCAACAAACAACTATTTTGTATTGGGCTTTTCTGATATTCTGATTAGCTGTCTAATCCGCATCTAAAGTTAGAGTGGCGTAAAATATGCGACACCACGTGAAATATATCTCAAATATCAAAATTTCCTGACACACTTTTGTTTGCCGTTATCCCTGTAATGTTTTGGCGAAATTTCACGAAATCGGTCAAATCTACACACCTCATAAATTCGCTCAAAGTGAATGTATATCTCTCAAAATCAAATGCGAGATTTTCGCTCCTACAGGTTTGTAAACAACTAGCGCCACACCAGGAGATTATCTCGCCTCCTGAAGCTGCATGCGAACCAATGGGAAGACGGGACGTCCAAGCGTCAATGACAATTATGACACTTCCTGATTTATAACTTTCATTTGAATATACATTTTCCTAAATAAGTCGGACGCTCTTTGAGATCTATAAATTATTCTTTTTGTAAAAGTGAGGTAAAATGTCTAACTTCAATCTAGTCCAATAAAAGACAAAATGATTTTTTAGGCCTTTGAAGGTGGGAAGTAACCTTAAGTTCCCGGGACCTTCGAGAAACAGGAAACAGGCCCCAGGTAAGTTTATAATTAATGTTTCAACAAACCTAATCATGATGTCAGAATAATTACATCAAACACCGTCAATACTTGTTTCTTCCTTCCTTTTTACTAGAGGTGCCGAGTCTTCGTCGTCCAGAAAATGAAGCCAGTTTGCTCCGGTCTCAACGGTTAGACCTTCAAATTGGATGGCGTGAATTCTCCCACCAATGTATTCTCGACCCTCTAGCACATAGAAATCTGTGATGTTATTGTCTAGTAGGGTTTTAGCGGCGGTCACGCCAGACAAACCGGCTCCAAGCACGAGTACTTTCGCTTTGTGTTTACCCTCGATCGATGTTACGGTGCTCAGTAAAAGCAGATACACGTGTGTCAGTAAATTTGCCTTCCACTCCGTCATGATTTTTTAATGAGCTAGTTAAATAAAATATAAAATTGTAATGGTGACATGAATCTGTGAGAGCCTTGAAATACTTCCGTGCCACCGATTTTTACTTGAGTTGCAAGCCTCAGATTGCAAAAAAATTACTACGTTTTTTTCCATAGATTCTTATAATTATTACCTTGTTTGAAAAAAGAATAAAACTATTATACGACTGTAAAGAATGCATAACTTGAGTTATAAGAAAGGTTCATTGTCCTGTATATCAAGGGACAGAATCTTGCTCAGCTCTGGTTTCATCATACCTGCTTCAAAAATGAAAAATTTTATGTCCAGATTGTGTACTTACAAGTTTTTTGTCTGTCAATCGAGGGAGTAGGGCGGTATTCCTTACGTCCAAAAACTTCTGCAACAAACTAGTTTTCGCTCACAGGGGTGTCTGTTCTGTTAAGTTATGCACATGCTGTTTATAGCGGTGCGTGACACCAATATCCATGCACGAGTGCGGAAATACTTGATCGTCCCTCTACCTGTCTAGGCAGAGTTAATAGCCTAGAATTAATAGCCTAGGCTATTAACTCTAGGCTATAGAGTTAATAGCCTAGACCAGAGTTAATAATAACTCTGGTCTAGGCTACTAGCAGTTCTTCCTTTATCCTTTTCGGCGAAGTCCATCGCGCTAGTCAAAGAAAAACGCCTCACTCATGGAGCTGGTGCGGCTCATCAGCGTCACTCCACGAGCTTCTCGCAGCGCTCTGACATCAACTTTTTTTCACTAATTTTTTTATACTCGCGTCTATCTGTCTATCCAGCCCCTAGAGTACATCATAGCTCGGTAATTTTGGTTTTATCAACTGAGTTGATAATTTAAATTGGCCGCCGTAAGGAGTTTCAAAGCTGACGTTTCGAGGGTTAGCCCCTCATCAGAACGAATACATCATGGCTCGGTTGCGTTAAATATCATACGCCCCACGCTACTCTAGCAGGAATCTTTAGCGATTAGATCAAAATGAAAAAAATATCTAATGGTGCGGTATTAAGAGCCGTGTAACAATCTTTTTTCGATCTCCTTATTAATCTTCTACATTCATTAAATTTCTCTGGCTTGCGCGTTGATATAAACCGTGCCTTAGGACTACAAGAACACACTGAGGTAAAGCACATCGGATGTGGAGACAACAAACCTTTGTACACCTTCTATTCTTAGCTGGTGTATCTTTCGATCGAAGGTCTTTTTCAAAAATTCTGAAGCAAGGTTTCTGTAGTGTGATTCCTTTTAGAAATTCTCATCCTCTGAAAATTTTTCTGTTCAGTTTTGAAATCTACGAGGAGCTTTGAAATTCCCAGTAAGGGTTAGAAAGGCATTGAAAATTAGCTTCTAACTGATCATTCAGAAAATACAATCTGTCTCCCTTTCTTTCCTTTCTTCACCATAATTCAGTGGTAATTTTCAATTGAGTTACAATTGATATTGCGTTCAGATTTCATTAATTGACTTAACTCTACTTACACTTAAAATCTTGGTGCCATAACGCAGACAATCCATAGACAATACTTCATGAACGGTTTATGCAAATGATCATGAGCCAAAAGGAAGAATAAAACAATGACTCATTTCAATTTCACTAAATAAGTCGTTAATTTCTTTTTTTATTTCCTTGCCGGTTGAACTGCACTCACGGGTCCAAAAATGTTTCTTATGGCAGTAATCGAGATGTGTCCAGGATCGTACTAAAATTGCGAACTTCGCTATTTTTCGTAGAAATACCAAATATCGTACAAAATGAAAAATTACAATTCTCGTTAAAGCTCTTTCAAATTACTGGAAGTGTACTTTTTGTAATCTAGTGAATTTCTGTACGTCTTTGCGACTTCGTTGTTTTCTGGTTGGGCCCTGATTTTCGTAGTTGCTCTCGTAATTTTCGTCATCTTGGGAGTCTTCTTTTTTCTGCAAAAAATGACGGAAACATTTGTGATTTTCGCGGATGCGTTCAATCCTGAACAGGGTTAATGGATGGTGACCTTATATTTTGAGAGGCGGAAGTTGTACCAGAATAAATGACAGAGGCTCAACTCGAGTGGAAACCAAGAAGAAATCGAGGAGATGCTCTCTCAGTTGTCTTCGGACAGTCTACGAGCCAGCTTATGGAGAAATGTGGTGAATGTGGCCAAGAAAAGGCTCAACAGAAACTAGCCCAAGTTTTCCTCTTCAATACAACAGCTCCGTTTCCCTGACTATGGAGTATCTTTTGGGAGAAAAGAAGATTTGCATCGATGGATATATAGCCTTCTGTTTTTTTTGTTTTTTTTTTTCTGTCCAGCCAGCGTTGCTCGCTTATTTTTCGGTTTTTGATTCTCTAAAAAACTCAAAATTAAGATAGAATAACATATCACTATACACAGCGCATAAAGGATTCCAAACAACTGCACAAACAGTAGCGGGAAAAAATTTAATTTTTCCCTTCACCGAGTAGAACTTGGTCTAAGTTAGCTTAATTAAGAGACATGAACTCGCGAGCCTACCAAACATACTTAACATGTGACGTAGCCACGGGCAAGGAGCCAATTGCCGCGTGCCTCTGGCACAGGTTGATACTAGTCGTTTTCATGGGTGAAGAGAAGGCTTCAACAAAAATAATTAGTTTCCGACCCTTGGCCATTGGCCTTTGGTATGGACGAAAACAACGATGATCACAAAAATAGTAAAATAACCTTTAAACATGTTAGAAAATTGCGATCATACGAAGCACCTGCGTGGGATGAGCTGGTCAGCGGAAACTCTAAAAGAGTGGTTATTTTTAGAAGCATGCATCGCTGTTCGTTGAGTTGTTGCGGAAAGAAACAGGTCTTTCACTTTGTAAGTGATCACTGTCTTTGCTGGGGTTTCTTTCAATGATTTGAACAGCAGAGTCTCGAAAGAAGTTTCTTTGATTGGTGTAACCCCTTCTGTATTTCCATGTTGACCAACACGTCTTTGTTGCTAAGTTCGTCAAATACGACAACAACTTCGCCAATCTCAAGTTTAACCGAAGTTACTCCAGGTGCAGTCGATGAACAGATTTTCTTCCAAACCGCCGCTGCTCGTGGAATTTCGGGTATCTTTGTCTGGTTATCTCTAATTATAACCTGCCATCAGGTGAGGAACAGTTCAAATTTTGAACGGAAGTGTTATTTACAAGGTAACGAAACTGTACATTGACGTGAACAATCGAGTGTATTTGTAAGATGGTTTTGCCAATTTCTCGTCTCCTTGAATATCGTAATTAATTTTCTTAAGTCAATATATCTTAGACCCACAAGTTTTTCATTTTATTACAGCGAGAATCAGACTCCAAACTCTAGTTGTATCAATGTACATGTACAAATTTGGAGGGGGCATGACCTATTGTTGTTTTCATGTCCTTTCTCATCACTAGGAGTGACTCTCAGCTACTCTGCAATGTTCGGAAGACTAGTGAAATCCATTTTAATGCCAGATTTTGTTGTTTTCTATCAGACGCTATTAGGTTTTATTTAGATCTTTGGCCTTAATCTGTGCACTGCGTCTGTATTTGCAGCGAATTTTGGCAATGGAGAAATCCATACCAATTTCCTTTCTACAGCTATAATCACCCATAGTGTGTAGTTAAACTTAGTTATTTCATATGTCGCGAACTATTCTGATTAAAGAGAGAACAGCTGCATGTCATTGCATCAAAGGTAACGAACAGGTACAAAATTAATGTAAAACAACTAGTAAAGATAAGTTGTCAGTGATTTGCTTTGGATGAATCGTACAACTCAGAAACGTTTACCTGACACTCGAATCGATATTATAAATATTTCCTTTAAGAAATCTGATACTGTTTTTCTTTTATACTTAGAATAAAGTTCTGATTAAGTATTGCATGTCAGGCTAGCTGGTTCACAAGAGAAATATGCTCAAAAAAACATATGCTTTGATTCATCTCTGCCATTAGTGAATTTATTCAAAAACTAACCATGTACTGCATTTTGAGATTTATAAAAGGTAACCTATTCATTTGAAAGTTATCTTTATATGTGCTAAAACATATGTTTTGATTGTGATTGTAGGCTGATTTTAGATATTTTATCTCACAGATTTATCAACATTTAAAGTACTACACAAACCCAAATGAGCAAAGATGGATTGTGAGGATCCTGTTTATTGTTCCTATCTATGCATTTGATTCCTGGCTGAGCTTGTTGTTCTTTGAACAATCTTATTACGTCTACTTTGACAGTATCAGGGATTGTTATGAAGGTACTTTAAATTTTTATACTCACATTACCAATCGAATGCTGCTAGAAAACACCTTCCTCATCAAAACAGACAACAGAATGAAAAACTTTCTAAATACTTCCAAACTCAACAATCAAGACTTAACTATCTAAAAGATATAAAAACTTATGTTTCTTGAATACGTTGTTTTGTCTCAATTTGGTGGAATGAATATCATGATCATTACTTTAAATATTAAGTAAATGTTGTTGAATAATCCCTAAGATAGTGTCAAGGGAATCGTACACTATCAGGGAGGCTATATTTTGAGAACAAGTAGAGTTTTTACAGAAAGAAGTTACACTCTAGCCTTGATTATTAAAAACTGGATCATTGGATGATGCAATTCAAGACTTTTTATTGGCTTAGCCATTATGGTATATGAGCCAAAAGAATATACCATAATCTAATATCTGTACATTGTAACATCTGGTTTCTTCTTACAAAATAAAGTTGAGAAGATTTGTCAAATATCTTGGGGGCATTTTTTTTAATAAAACAATTATTCCACTCGTGGTTGTTGGATATGAGATGATTATAGCCAACTTGGCGCCACACGCCTCATTGGCTATCTATCATCTCACATCCAACACGCACTCATGGAATAATTGCTAATTATCCACACCTCAATTATCCAGATTTTTTTCCTACCCAGACTCCCTTCTCTGGACTTTTGATTGAGTTATAGAGAAGGTCAATTCAAGCTAAGTCACATGGCTGTTATTCCAGTTTAATGCAACTGATTATCTTCTTTTCAGCATTTGTTATCTACAACTTCTTGAGTTTGTGTTATGAATATTTGGGAGGGGAGATGTCAATCTTAAGTGAGATTAGAGGACGACCAATCAAGTAAGTAACTCACTGGCAGATTTTAGATTTATTAACTTGAGTGTTCTTGTAAACAAATTGAGGCACCTTTTTTAGGCCATTTAGGAGCATAATTTATTCTGGATACTAAATACAAATGTCTGTTTGCTTCCTTGATAGGTCAGAAAAAGTAAAATATATACCAAAATGATTGCTGGTAGTTAAATGAACAAAACATTATGTGGATATAAGAAAAAAATTTTTACTGCCATCATAGCATGAGGTTGAGCAATGGGAATATCAAGGACTGTGAATGCACCAATCAAGTTGGAATGTTACTTAATTGCATGGCTTGAACTTTTTTCTACCCCTTAACTACTGATTCTCTTTATGGTCAAGATACCTTTACTGGAACCTTTTCATTAGTTCTTTTTCATGACTGGTATATCTTTATTTCCAGAGCCAGCTGGTTATGGTGCACATGTTGTTTAACAGGATGTCAATACACTATAGTTTTCTTAAGATTCTGTAAACAGGTGAAGTTTGATTTAATATAATTGTCTTTAAGTTAGTTAAAAGTTTCAAAGTTTTTTATTTCATTTACAATTTTGTTGCAAAAATAAAAAAATTATAACCAACAAAAAATATAATTGATAGATTCCTGGCCTCCCAATCTCCTTATATTTCAGAAGAAATAGTTACAGTAGTTGTGATTTAAGGTGACAGGCAACTGATGAAAGTTCTCTGACTGGCTTCAAGGAATTGAGAGATTTATGTTTCTTCTTTTATCCTGAAGCCCAGTATTCTGTTATATAGAAGACACCCTATTTTCTTCTTTTTGGGACTGTATGCAACAAATTAAATTTCATTTATTTTTCATATCCAGGATACTTAGATTTAAGTACCATTTTTGACAGGTATTTGCAACTTTAAGAACTTGTGCTTGACAGGTATCATTGCAAATTTTGACAACACTAGTGGTTTAGAGAAGCCCCTCTTGCTTTTTAAAGCTTCTCTCTGACAGAGTAGAGGCTTGTTATTAGTTACTACCCGGTATTTAGGGCACTCATTTTAATCTGTCTACAGCATTTGTTGTTGTCGTTGTCCTTTTTTTTGCAAGCCACTTGAGAAACTAAAATTTGGACCAGGCACAAAATTATTCTATATGTTTTTGGTTGTATCTGCCTTAATACAACAAAATAATGCAATTTCTTGGTTGACTAATATTTCCCTCCAGGCCACCCTTCAGTACTGTGTTATAAAACCTATCATGGCAGTCATTACCCTTATTCTTCAGCCACTTGGTTACTACTCTGACGGAGACTGGAGGTAAACACAGTCATGTGACTGTTAAGTGTTAATGTCTCATGTTTTAGGTTTGATTTGAGTTAGGAAAAAACAAACTGTTCAATAAAAGTGATCTGTTAACAAGTCCCAAAATTTATGTTGCAAAGATACTATTTTTAAAAATTGCAAACTTTTGTAACCAGTATGAATTAAGATAATGAGCTTTTGCATCAGGAATTGAGATTGCCAGCATGTTGAAGGGGAAGCTGTTTAACCGCTGACAACAACAACAACAACAACAACAACAACCTTTATTTATGTGTCAAATCTAAAATAGCAGTTATACAACCACTAACTGGGGACACTAAATACTACCTAAAAATTTAAGAAATTTAAAAATAAAACAATATATATGTACAATTTAAAATCTAACCTAAGTCTTACATAAAAGGCAGTTTTCACATTTACTATCAGTCAATTTAGAAACAAGGTCTATTCTACGTATGTTACATTTAAAAGATGATATGGATGTCAGTTCTCTTACATTTCTTGGTACAATTGCCCATATTTTGGGTCCCATATATCTAAGCGAATGTTTTCCAAAAGTGACAGTATTAAATCTAGGTATACCAAAATCATTATTACGCAGTGTGTACCTAAGTTGTGGAATTTGAAAAAGGCTACATATGACTTGGGTGTGATGCTTCCAAACAGCCTCATCCTATTCCATTTATCAAAGAGCCTGCTTTGTGTGTTTAAAAAATCCTGTCAGTACTAAGATGGGCAAATTTATCAGTGCAGACCAGGCTGCCATCATGCTTGTGGTAGTCAGAAGTTGAGGTTTGGTGAAACTTCAAATGTTAAAATCTTAAATGGTAACTTTTTGTCGGAAAGATATTATAAAAAGAAGTATGATGTTAAAGTTGCATGATCCTGAGCTTTGGTAATTAGTACATAGTACCATTACCATCTGGTATTTAGCATATGGGACTCGGTGACATCTCTCTGGGTTGTAGACATCTTTGCTTTGTTTGAATGAATGTTAGCCATTAAATCTGCTCAGTGAGTACATCAATGTCAATCAAGTAGATTAATCCTGCTTAGGGTTTTTAAATTGTTTTTATTTTTTGCATTTCAGAGCTGACCGTGGCTATTTGTACATCACAATAGTTTACAACATCACAGTATCACTGGCTCTGTACGCATTGTTTCTGTTCTATCAAGCTACACGAGATCTTCTTAGTCCTTACTATCCTGTGCTGAAGTTTTTTACCATAAAATCAGTAATTTTTCTGTCGTTTTGGCAAGGTAAGAATAGTTTCTATCAACGCCTCTTAAAAGTATATCTGAAACAATGGTTAGTGACCATGTTTGAAGATTCAAAGATTTACCAAGCCTTAACTAAAGTGAAGGCCGTAAGTTAGATAATTCATTGGGTTAATTACGTCACCTTCGTTAAATAAAGAATATTGTATTATATGTATTGTATTGTATTGTATTGTATTGTCTGTTAAGTTGCTTAGTATTCGACCATGAATGCCGCCGTTTTTAATCCTGCTCAGCAACCTGGCCGCTCATATGTGACGTAATTGAGTCTCAGTCCTCTTTTTCGATCCATGAGCGATCTGATTCTTGTCAAAAGAGACAACAAAAACGACATTGTATCAATTATTTATTTCTTTAGGTGTTCTGCTAGCTGTGCTAGAAAAGGCTGGAGCCATCAGAACATATCGCGACATATCCGCTGGAACAATTGCAGCCGGTTACCAGAACTTTGTGGTATGCATAGAAATGTTCTTCGCTGCCATTGCTCTCAGATATGCCTTCCCATACTCGATTTATCGCCATCAGAGAAAACTTGACGAGCGGGGGCAAGGAATCGCGTTGAAAAGCATCTCTAGAAATCTGAGACAAACGATAAATCCCAAAGATATTGTAGATGATGCGATACACAACTTCTCTAGGTCTTATCAGCATTATGCAAACGCGCAGAATCTAAAAACTTTAAACGAAGAAAGCGCTATGCAAGCGAACTCTTTCACTTCATACCGGAGCACTGTTGTGGACAACTTAGAATCAATTAAACCTGGAATGCAAGTCACTGTTCTGGATGGCCAAGGATTCAGATACGATAATGAGAATTCCACGTTACTTGCTTCTGACGAGGAATTTTAGTGTTTGTTACCTCTTCACTGTAATATTCGGCAAGCACTGAAGTTAAATTAAAAGAAAACAAAAAACAGAAGGACGAAGAAGAAAACAGGGACATTTTATCTTAAGTTTGACTCGGAAAATTTGAGGAAATGGAGACTGACGTTAATCTTTTGGCGAGAATCGAGGAATCGAATACGTCCTCGGCCATTCTTGTATACTATACAGAACGAACAAGACGTATTGAACAGGAAAAGGAAAAGGAAAAAGTGCTCTGAAAATTGATGAAACTACTTTTTCGATGGTTCATGAGCGAAAAAAAATGGATTGTGGTATGCAAGCGTTTATTTGCGTCCCGTTAAGAGTAGAAGGTTAATACTGTCTTTTTGAAACAATATCTAGTGGACTTATAGCATGACATCCTTACTCTATAATCTGAGGTGTAAATGACTTCCTTTTTTTTTTTTCATTACAAAGAATTGAACCGTTCGAGCAAAAAGGTGCAAAGGTATTCTTCTCTCTGATTAAGCACAGTGTGAACCTGGCAAACAGTTTCTCAATCTAAGTTCCTTGCGTTAGCTTTAAACTGTTGTAATTGATTCTGTCAGATCGTAAATATTACGCTTCCATAAGTATATTTGGTTGTTGATAGTTGATTAAAACTCTATCCAGTTAGAATCTTAAAAATAGTGGACAATCCCATTGAAATTCTTGGTGAAAAAATATCCTTGCATCAGCGAGCAAGACAAACTTCTCAATTTTTGCAGTTTAGTTTTTTCTCCGAAACTCACTTGTTTTATAGTTGTGACAGATTGGATCTCTAGATGCATCGTTTGTTTGTTTACGTTACCCAAGATTGAAACTAGTTTGTTGTTGTTTACCCTAGAAATCTGCTTTTAGTTAGAAGACGCGAGTGCTTTTAAAAAAGTTTGCAGCCTAAAAAGTAATTTAAATCAGTTTTGGAGACGTTTATTGCTCTGTCATTAGTTCCTCTTGGCATAAATGATGTACGTTTGGCTAAGCAACAAATGTCCTTTGTAAATTGTAAATTTCTTGTCAAGATATTACTATTTATTCCTACCTGTGCCATTCAGTTCATTTTTATATGTGAACTTCTTCCGTTCAGGAGTTGATGTAAATAGTGCTTTCATTATAACTGAATAAAAATCACTAAGTGTTTCAAGACTGAAATGTTGCTTTTTGGTATATAGACCGTCATCGCACAGGATCGTGGGGTCGATTTGTGTTTATATTGTGCAACGGCTCTCGTAAAATTTGGACATTCAGTTGACCTATGGACTCGCGGTAAAAGGACGGTGGAATATTCAGATACGCTGCTACTTAGAGCCTATCGTAGAGGTACATCGCCTGATTCGTAAACTTGCTTCACGATAATGAGAACAATGACTGTGAGGAAGCGATCTTGTGATAACTATGATGGAAACATTTTAAAATTAGACAACGAGTTCCTCCTCTTAGGCGAGGTCCGTTGAGCAGGTCAAAAGAAAACTCAGCCGCGTGGAATTGTGGACCTCAGTCTCAAGAAGTCCGAGCGGCGCGCTACTATAGTTTTTCTGCTCAGTTTTTTTACTCGCGCGACGAACTTCGCTAAAAAGGGAGCGACTCCTCGTATACTCTATTACAATAATGTAGTCATTATATTTGTGGAAGGTATCGCTAAGCTAGCTCACGAAGAATTGAATTACAAATTACATAAAAGTAATGAAAAAGATGCTAACTAACAACCTAAAAACAACAACTACATCGCAAAATGAAAGTATTTATTTTTTTGAATCATAAACTCTAGAAAACAACACAAGGAAAATAAAAAAAAAAACATGAAAGTTATATCGATATTTGGGACCATGATAAGGTGAATGTTCAGTGAACGTATCTTTGTCTCGTAAGCTTCAGCATTTCTTATGTAACTTCATCACACGGGGTAATTTCAAAATGAATCGCACGACTCAAGCAAGTTGCACGAGGAAAACTCAACGCAATGCAAACTACATACTTCAATGTTTCCATGTCACAATCTATCTGATATTCATTCATTTCTCAAGTTGAAACACTTACTATTCCCTTTGAAGCGTCAAGAAAGAACTAAACAAACATTTTCTAGTATGGCAAACTTTTTCCAGAAAACAAAGAAGGAAAAACAATCTCGTATTTCCAATTCAACACACATTGAATTTAACTTATTCTCTCAGGACATTCCGTGACTGGAAATCTCCATGAAAAAAACTATCTGGCCTCTTTTCATTGGATGAAACACTTGTTGTTCAAACCAAATTCAAACTTTCGCTTCAGTGTTTTCAGCTCAGCATTGTTTGGATCAAACTTCAGCCCGTTCAGGCAAACCCTGAGTCCATCTGCGAACTTTTTCCGATCAAGATCAGCTGAGGCAGTTTTGAGAAAAGTTTTGATCGCCACTTCTCTCCCGGGATAGGACGAAATAAGTGTCATAGCTGTTAGCTCTTGTGCTTCCATAGCAACAAGAAAGTCCTTACTTGCGCCATTGTAATTCTCATTAAGCAGGTGAAGATTACCGCGTGCTACAAGATCGCCGACGATTGGTACGCCCGATCGTATAACTGACGTCATGTCTTCGATGGCTTCTGGAAATCGCCTGAGCCTTTCAAAACATTTAGAACGCATGCGCAAGATTTCCTTCAGTTGACCTTCACACGTAGCGGCTGCGGCAACCGTGAAGAATCCCAGGGCATTGTCATTTTGATTTACGTTAGTATGATAGTTTGCTTTATCCATGGCTTCTTTACACAGGATTTCCCTTTGCTCCTGATTTAAAGTTTTAGCCGCGAAGTTCAAGGCTTCCAGATCCACGTCGGCCAGTTCTCGAAACTTTGCTGCCGAAATTTCAACTTCATTGAGTTTCATATGGACGAGTCCACTTCGGCTGAGTATCGATACATCTTCGGGACAGAGTCGTTTGGTGATGTCGAGCTCCTCAATGGCTTTTCGGTAATCTTCAAAGATTATCAGCCCGTCGGCATACAGGCTGTGGTAAGACGCCACATCATTGTTTATTTGAACCAATAAATCACACAGCCTCAATATAAATTTGGAACGGAAACCTTGTGTTAGGTAATGAGAGAAGAGCATTTGGACACAATCTTCAAGGGTTCCCATAACAAGATTCTTCTGATTTTCAGGAAGTGAAAGGACGAAAGTCTTGAGTGCTTGAGAATTGAGAAGTAACGCCAGTAGTAAGTCATTGTAGCTCGCTTTTCGGTTCTTTTTCAGGATGAAGAGGTGACCTCGCAAACAGAGCACTTCAACATGATTAGGTTTTTTAACAAGCGCTGAATTTAAGTCTGCGATGGCCAAATCGAGTTGATCCTTCGAGATTCTACACTTCGCACGCCACACGTACGACTCCAAGGCTTTGTTTGGGGAGGCAGCAATGGCCACGGAAAAATATCCTTCTATTGTAGCGTCGCCTGGGTGAGTGTTTAATCTCTGTACTCCCTCGCAATGCGACTCGCGCGTCAGACGCGCGCGATCTTTATCCGTTAATCTCAACATTGCACTCGCAAGTTTCTCCTCGCCTATCGTTTTCAGAAGAGTGCAGATGTCTTCTAGTGCATCAGCCGTTCTGTTTCGTCTCATTTTCAACACAGCAAGATGTAGCGTTGCTAAATAGTCATCGGGATTGTGTGTAATTAAGCGAACCAGAATTGCTTGCGCTTCATCCATCTTACACAGCGACTGTAATATCTCCACAAACACATGATGACACTCGAAGTCCGTGGGAAACGCGCGCGTCAACACGTTTCCTAGAGTGACAAGCGAGTCATCCTCGCACGAGCCACGACTCTGTGAGTGTTTCTTAGAGGTCGTTACTAAGTATTCCTTGATTTGATTCTTCAGTGTTTCCTGTTCACAGTCCGGTAATTCTGTTATCCAGGTGACTGTGGCACTAATAGAGATCCCACTTGCCGCTGTCAGATCTTTGGCTGCCTTGCCAAAATCTCCACTCATGAGCCAAACGAAAGCGCGGCCACAAAGCGCTTGAACAAAACTCGGCTGGATGTCGAGGGTCATGTCGAAGTCTGCAAAGGCGTTACTCAAGTCAGCGGTTTTCATGTGACAAAATGCCCGAGTATAATAAGCTTTGGAACACATTGGGCGGAGTGTAAGTATTAAGTCAAGCGTGCTGATTGCAGCGGTATCTTTGTCTTGAAGCTTTAAGCACTCCGCAGCATTAATTAACGCATCGACGTTGTTATTGTCCAGAATATACAACATCCTATACATTTGCGCTGCTCTGTCCAGGATGTCAGCGGTATTTTTGGCATCTACAGCACATGGGTTATTCAGTCTAACTTTAAGGCGAAAATGGGTCAAGACCTCCGATGCGATTTTTTTAGCAAGAGCAGTGATGTTATCTAGTTGTTGGTGGGGTAAAGAAAGTATTGTAATCTGCGTGATATCCTCATCGATGGCAGCCGCGCAAAGATAATCATTCAAAGCAGATTCAGTCTGCCCCAGGGCTAAGTAGCACTGCGCTCTTTGAAGCAACAGCTCCACCACTTCTGGTGTCTCTCTTTTCCCTAATGATGTCACGTGATCCAGTCCATCAGACAAAAGGACCACGGCTTGCTTGTGTTGATTTAGTTTGATCATGTGACTTGCGCAGTCGCCGATAGTTGACGAATCTTCGGGATTTAACCCAACAACGATACGGTCAATTTTGATCAACAAGAATCTCTCCTCCTCGCAGAAGTTTTTTGCCTTTTGAGCAAGTGTAGCGATGACGTCATAGAGCGCTTCTAAAATAGATGGAAGCAGTTTCACCCCAGTTTCCTTAATGCAAGTTAAACCAGCGTTAAAATCTTTGTCACACGCAGCAATCATATCCTGTACTGCAAACTTCTTTTCCTTCAGGAGAAGGTAGGCCATGGCGCGATTGACTAGAAAGAAAACTACGTCGCTATGATTTGAAAATATCTTCAAGGCATCGACACACGTCGTTACGGCATCAAAAAATTTTTTGCTCCGCATCTGCACTCGAAGTTTAGTGGACCATGCTACACGGCTGTCCGGGCGTAAGCCGTTAGAGGTAATGAGATCACAAATTTGACCAAGAGAAACTGTAAGACCTGAATTTAATAAACTTCCAGAGTCATCTCCACATATACACCAATCCTCTAAGGTACAAAGAACAGTATGTAAAGTATTTGGTGGCAAAGCGACCAGGTGATCCTTCACTAGACCAGGCTCCAAAGCGTACGCCTTACAGAAATGGATAACAGCTTCTTCGGTTCGCTGTTTTCTAAGATCCTGATCGCCTAGTGATATGTAAGAAAGTGCTTGTCCCACATTGTCATCCATTGAAGATATTTTTCTTGTCTGGATTTCAGAGATGCTGAGAAGAAACAGGATTAGATGGATTTGTTAGCTATATTTGCAATCTTAGTCAATGCTAAATTTGTTTAACTAGGTTAGACCGGTAATCTGTCAAAGTCCTAAATAATGGTTGGCATTTTCCTTGGACTTTAGGCGCGGATTATGAGCACTATCTAGTTCTATTTCTGATTCATCGTTAACCCTCCAACCCTCATGTTAGACTGTTATCGACTTTCCCCTCTTACAATATCACTGACTTTTGCTGAATCAAAGACTAAAAGAAATGATGCCGAAGTAAGGGATTAATTGGCAGAGCTAATAAAGAAATTGTGGTGCTGCTTCGGTAATGGTTCAAGATCATTTGGTTTTATCAACCGAGTTAATAATGTGAATTGGCCACCGTATAGAGTTTTTAAAGCTACCGTTTCGCTGGAAACGAAAAAGAAAAAAGATTGACCTAATGTGCATATTGACAGGCTTGAAAATCTGTTTCAAATTTTCGACCGTTCCTTTCTTGAACAAGAAAAACGGCAGATATGAGTGAACGGCAGAAGACGGTTGCTAAATCTATCGGAACCACGACCGCGAAGTATTTATCTGTGGGGAAACGAAACGCTCCTCTAAAGTGTGAATGAAACGAAGCGCGCAAAAATTTGCGTCAAAGCGACGGTGTAGGTAGGGTGCCTCAGAGCAATGAGAACAATGAGTTTTAGCCTTTTAAAATTTAGGATTCAGCGACAATCGTTACTTCAAGCCTCAGCTTTTAGGGCTCACGAGTAATGCTGAGCCTTTTTCTGTTGTAAAGGTACAAAGGAAAGAAACAATAACAGTTTAAAAAGGCTTTCGTGTCACTTTGAACTTGGTCCACTGTGCCACACACCTTTGCAATCTTATCATATAATCATATCAGAATAAAACTATAATCTTTTTGGCGCGCGTCAGCTTAAAACTATTTGTCGCGTGGTCGGCATTTTAAGATCAGTTTAACTGCGAACGGCCTTTTGTTCCGTCCAAAAACGAAGGAAGGAAGCAGACAGACTGGCCAAATATTACCGCAATCCCTTTCTTCCTCTCTTATTTTCTCCGCAATCAACTGCAGATTTCATTTCCTGGCACGAAAAGCCTTTCGTGATAAAAGGACCTGATTTTGCCCGATACAATACAAAAATAAATAAACATAGGTAAGCCGACAAAAAGGTGATCTTTTCATTTTGACTGATTAATGGATTAAAGTTTTTATCAGAGGAAACAAACAAAAACAGAAAAACACGATAGGAAACTAACTGGAGCCAAACAGTCGCCCAAAGGTATCGTTGATACACAAAAATCGATTTAAGGAACAGATATCGTAATTTACACCCTGTACGGTGATGGTGAGCAGGGGAAAATGTAAACAGCAACAGCTTTACTAAGCAGATTAGCTAGAACAAACCCAGACTGAACTCCTTATCTCTAGTACCTCCAAGCATTGGATCGTAATTAGCACACGCGATAAACTTGAACGTATTTAGATATCACGAGCGTGCCCCTAAGACAGTCTCTCTAGCTATCAGCAAGACCCCCACGGAAGGTCGACACGAAAAGTTTAGAGTGTCTTAAAATTTGAAATGAACGTGATCGCATCCGCCCGGTAACTTTGAGAACTACCTCAGAACAATTCACAAATAATAATATGGTATTAAGGAATAGTAGATAAAGTTAAGATTAGATTTTCTATAAGCAGACAGGATTCTTTTCGGCTTCAGTAAAGGGCTTATTCAATCAAAAATTTCTTAAACGTCCGGATTAAAAGAAAGGAATACGTCTGCTAATTGAGAAGTGAAAGCGTTGATGACAATTGCTGAACTAAAATAATTTTTATTCCCACTTTTACTGTCAACACATGAAGGCTTTGCATTAGTTTGAACACCGACCATTGCTTTTCAGCTTATCATTGGCACACGACTGTTAAACAAATTGATACCATTTAAAAAACAGTTGTCGGTGTTTTCGTGTTTTGCATTGTTCCATTCTGGTGAATGATCATTGTACACTGTTTGAACTTCAGTGGAAGACTCGCACAACTTCCATCACCAAAGCATACATCATTGAACTGGTAAACATGTTTCTTTTTCAGTTCCAGGGAGCCTTTCCTCGCACGTCTTGTCTTTGTGTCTGTCACCATCAATATGAAGATTACATAAGGCTATTTTAAGGTATATTTTGCGGAGCCAACAATGGCGCCCATTACCCTCTTTTAATCAAACACTAGTTGAAGCTTTTAACACTAACGATAGCGTAGACAGATAGGATAAAGTGGCAAAATATTCTATTTCAGCCGCAACACAACCGTGTTGCTTGAGAATTTTAAAATTTTGTTCATTCCTTTATGGTCGTCCTCTAATGAATCACCTGAACTCGCACAAGCATAGACTGCATCTTTTCTCCATTTATTTCCGGAGCTGAAAAGTTCCGTCGCGTGTTTGGCAAAGGATAGACCTCACAGTACTGGATACACTAAACACATCTACAATGAGCGATTTTCGGCCTACATAGATCATTTTCTCGATATACCTTTAGTTTGACGTGAATGAGTGAACGTTGACAACCTGAAAAGTCACGCGATCACAGTCACGTTTAACCCTCATTTCTTTTTTAGAAAAAACATTCGCGGACGTACCTTCGTATTCGAGCGATAACTCTTCCACTTCGAAGAAATCCTTTTAATACAGTCTTCTAAAATTCAGCGCTGGCGTTCTCTATTTCTAAGGTGGTCTCACAAGCAGAACTCTACTAGATGTTGAAATCTAATGAACTTTGACCAGTTTAGGTACCCGTCATGTCTGGCGCATTAAAAGAGTGACACACATTTTCCAGAGATAGAAACACTGACTCGTGAAGTCAGATGCAGACCAGGCGAGTTTTGTTTAAAAATGCTTACTTTGAGAAAGCTATCGGCCTGTCGACTTGTTTCGGACTCGTCTATGACCTTATCACTTCGAACAAAAACACGTGTTATAACACTAGCAATCGATAAAATTCAAACTCTGAACATTACGCGGCATGTTGACAGTTAACCTGTGTGTATTAAGTACTTTGAAGAACAGGCACAGCGTAAAAGCTCAATACATACATAAACAGAGCTACTGACATTAACAATAACAAATGCATGCAGCCTATTCGCGTGCTCCGGTGACAAAACATTTTTCTTTTTAAACTCGAAGCAGATAATTGCTTATAAATCATCTTATTTATCGATAGTTAGAGGGCCATTCCAGCGATATTTGAAAACTTGGTTTGAAAATAATACTTAAAGAAAGAGTTGTTGGGAGATGAAAATTGTGATCGTTTTCTTTAATTCATAAACCGGCTGAGATCCTCAGACAAACACGAAGACAGGCTAGTAAATAGTTTGATATGGTTCTAGACTTACCTTAATTAGAGCGGGAATAAATCCCAGCTGTCTTTAGAATTTTGTTTTGCCAATCAATGAACAGGACGGTGAACAAGATTTTGAACTGAAGAGAAATTATATCAGAACGCTTCGGATACGGAGAAAGTTGCTCTTGTTTTGGAAAGCTCCGTGTTTGAATAGGCTTGTCCTGGATTTGATTCATTTAGGAAAAAATTTTCACTCAGAGGAATCTAAATGCCCAGATAACCTAACAACGCATAGGTCAGATAATACCACAATTCTAATTGTTTAAATAAGTTTTCTATTGGTCAATCAAACATGACAAGGCGTGGGAACGCTGAATCGCAATTGGCTGACCCCTTCAAATCACCTGATAGCCGATCTGCGCGGGAAATCTGTTGAGTGAAGGTATTTCCGCGGAAAAAAATTTTGAGGTTCTATTCCCAACCGCTATTGGCCTGCTAGCAGGCGAAAACACATGTGTGTGTGTGTTTTATTTTTATAGATATTTATATATAAATATATATATATTTTACCTCATTAAACCTCGTCTAACATGGACGAATACAAGCGTTTGAGGTAATAATTGAATGTTTACAAATTACGGCATCTTAAGGACTTACTGTTCATCTATTCGGTTTCGCTGCAAGTACCTCCAACAGCACGACAAACAGAGATCCATTAGCCACGGCTTTCGATTGCTTTTATTCGAGGACGGAAGTCCGAGAATGGGTGCCTCTGTCATTTACATATGGTTTTGAAAGGAATCCATGAAAAACAATTTCTAGAGTATTTACTGTGAAACCTGACATTGGATTATGTTTAATCATTAAATGATATTTCCTCGCTAAGCTATTTTTGGTAATCTTTCAATAAAAGAATAAGATTTGAAACAAAAGTAATTTGTTCAAAACAAGCAAATACAGATAGTAAAACTGTCAGGAAGGTATTTTAACTATTCAATTCATTGTGTATTGAACACGCAATAACAACACCCTCATTCACTGATAAAACAGCCTCCCAATCAGTTAGTTTAGTAAATTACACAAACATAATTACCATTTCATCTCTATCAAAGATTAAAGAGTTCTTTGTTGCACTTAATATCTAAGAAAGCTCACAAAAGACGGGTGAAGACTTCTCGATAAGCTGACATCTGTGCTTACACTTACAAGATTCAGCCGGAAACGTTTTGTTGTTAACGTGACGTCACGTTATCAACAAAACGTTTCCGGCTGAATCAGAGTGAGCTCGAACTCCCCCCTCCCAGCTAAGAAGAGATTGCGGATATGTACCCTGCATACGAGAATGTATCCCCCTCCCCCCCAGTTTCCTGTTGTCTCAATGCTTCAACTTGCGACAACTTGATATAACCTAGTGGCTCTCCCTTAAAGGAGAAAAAGACTCAGAACTGAGTGTTTTGTATTTGAAGATTGAAATTCAAAATCTAAGGCGCTGATAAAAAAAAATTGATAATAATAATAATAGTAATAATAATTTTTAGATCATAAATATCATTTTTATTAAAATCGAAAGCCTTCTTAATAATAATCCCAAAGTATCGCATTCATTTTAAACTTGCATAGCTAAAGCGAATAATAATGATGATGATGATAATAATAATAATAATAATAATAATAATAATAATAATAAAGGATCACAATTGTATGACATTATAGAGAAAGATAAAATGAATATATGAAGTTCATATATTCAATGAATATATCATATATTCAATGAATATATGAAGTTCATAAAATTTAATAAAAATGAAGTTCATGATTTTCGCTATTGCATAAATAGCACTATCTACTGCGAAGGATCGTGCATCATACGTATTATAGAGAAAATTCAAAACTTAAGAGAAATTGATGTTTAAAGATGATGATTGAAATATAATTATCGCAGCAATTTTGTTTAACGGCGCCAATGCCGGAGCTTTATTCAACATATACAATTTAAAAAGCACACGCACTCCTATTTGTCGACAGATTTGTTTGGACCAGATTATGTAAAAATAATTGTGACGTTTTAAATATGCACGTATTTTTAGAATTACCTTTGTAGAAAAGACATCATCGTTTCCATCGGAAAATTTAACGTATACACGAAAGACACGGAAGAGCTCAAGCGATCTTTTCTCTGCTACATCGAACTGACCATATCAGAGCAGTTGAACAAAAATCAGGAAAAGAATAAAACCCGAAACATAGTCCATTCGTTTCTTTCCATGACCAAGATTCTCGCGAGGAAAACGTAATCCGATGTTGTGAAAATCCTGTCTACAGAAGAAGGGAATTAAGACCGAAGTTTTTCAGATATTTCGGGGCTAAAAATGTCTACGAGTCTTAACACAACCAAATGCCGGATATTCATTGAAGAAATCTTATGGCATCCCGTGACGATACAGTGAAGCCTCGGTTAACTCGAACCTCCTAGTAACTCGAACAAGGTCGGATTCCCGACCTGACCCAATTTTTTTATCAGTCATTTACGATCAGCCAACTAGAACCCCCGCTAAATTGAACTATATTTGTCATCTTTGGGTGAGTCCTATTATATTCTCTTTTCAAATACCTTTCCATTTATTCGCGTCGTGCGCAACAGTCATGCTGCTGCGGCAAACTCGGCTCTCCCTCGTCCACCCGCATGTGCTCGATAGGTTTGGACGTGGAAACTGGGTCTAGCACACGAACTCAAGGCAAACCCTCAACCTGCTATCGCACACGGTAGACCTTCGCAGATGTACTTCGATACTTTACTGATATGCGTTACGTCGGAGGCGTTACGTGGGAGATGGAGATCCATTAAATGAAAATGAAGACAAAGAGAGAAAAAAACTTTGTAAATAACTCACGCGCGTTTCAATATTTTTCTCAACTTTTTCTTTCAAATTGTTATATGGCTGTGTCTCACAAGGACTGGGAACTACCGAATTCATGAATTTGATTGGCTGAAATCAATATTGAAAGCGGTCAAGATTTTCCCATCTAGACCGGCCTCTAGACCGGTATAGAAAGAAAAGGTACAAAGAATATAAAAAATTGGCATATTGACCACTTTCTTAAATGGCTGCTGGATTAATATTCTTTTGTTTATATTTAAATTTGCCTTTCTGGCCTCGCTTGAGATAATGTATTCTTTTGAATTTTGTACTGGAGAACGAGGCCAGAGAGGCTAATTCAAATTCAAACAAAAGAATATTAATCTGGCAGCCATTTACGAAAGTGGTCTATAAGACACAGCCATATAATAAACATCTTATTAACCAAGCTAGGTCGGTCTGTATGGGAGAATCTTGACCTCAGTCGCTGGTACAGACCTTACTACATTCGGTCTGTACTAGCGACCTCGGTCAAGATTCTCCCATACAGACCTCCCACTCGGTTAATAAGAACTAAGTATAGTTAGAATAGTAATGCGTAGTTTGTGAGACGAAAAAAGTTAAAAAAATTGGTCCTCGAAAGTTACCATATCCCTAAAACTCTTCAGTATTAATGCAAGTAAAGTAAAACTGAATGAAATCAAGAACCTATGGTTCTATATTCCTTTGCATTAATTATTACATTTTCCAGTGTCAACCTGCAAGCCTCGTCTCGTTGAACTCAACCTAGTTCCTTTGCCTAGCGCCTCAGAAACCGAGTTCACACGTCTCAAATCGCCCTCCTCATCCACGATCACGTGACCTGAGGAAACAGGGCTCTGCATAGCATAGTTCTGTCTTGAAGATTCATTACAGCAACAATTTTCACTGCATTTGCCTCCAATACAATCTGACCTTCAATCTGTGATTAGAAGACAGTTGCTAATTTCAGGTAGTGATATTACTTATAATACATTTCCACAACCCTGCATCAATTATGGGATATTCTACTCATTTCTCAAGTGAGTGGTCCATTCTTTACTACATTCAGAGTTTGGGTACAAGATGGGTCTTTACCAGATTTGGATGGAAAGAAGGTCATCTGACTTCTGACAAAGGAATTAATTTTATCATTACTAGTTATTGTACCGCCACTTTCACTGCTAATCAAACAAAAAAGTGCCAACTTTACCTTGGCCAACATACAGCAATAAGTTCCCCTGACATGGAACTCAGAAGACAGTTTGTAGTTCACCAGAATGTGTTAAAATCATAGGTATTCTAAATATATCTTATTAACCAAGCGCGAGGGCTGAACTGGGAGAATATTGGCCCGAGGTCTTGACAGTACAGACCGAGCTGTGCTCGGTCCGTACGAAAAAGACCAAGGGCCAATATTCTTACAGTAAGGTCCCAAGCAAGCTTGGTTAATAAGAGATTTATTACACAACGGAAGTTCAAAGGGACACAAGTGCGGTATCATTCAGGACCATTTGGGACAGTGCCCAGTCCAATACTGAGAGAATATTGACCGGCAATAGAGCATTTTGATTGGTTGATTTTAGTTATTGGCCCTCTGACTGCCCGAGTCGTGTAATAAGGAAAAGTTACACATTCATTACACATGGAAGCCTAAGTTTTAACTTTTGCTTATAATCTGAAATGGCAGTCTCAGTCTAGACCCTCGAAACAGGGAAACCTTCCCTGCAACCATAGCATTCTGGGTTGTAAAGTAGAGAAGTAAGGGAAGGGGAAGTTACTTCAGCAGTCAAGGTCTAAATTTGGTTCTCTTCTATTTGGTGCAAAAACTTTATCTTTGACTGGTTGCATGCAAGGAGCCCCAAAAGGATCTTTCATCTCTCACAGTACACTTCACAGTATATACAGGAAAGCTAGATGGATAAATGAGATTTTCAGCAGTTGCTCTCTCTCTCTCTCTCTCTGTTAGTCTGCCATTCAAGTCAAAAGAAATCAGCAAAAAGAGCACTTTGGCAAACAAACTCATTAAGTGACATCACAAAATTTTTCCACCCATGTCTATTAACTTAATTAATAAAGACTGCTTGGTGTCTAAATGAATAGATCATATTACTAATCATATCAACAGTTATTTTCTACCAAGTCCACAACAAAAAAAAAAAGACTTGAGATATTGTGAAAACATCTTTATACAGATTTTAACATTAAGTTTGTAATTATTTCTTATTTTGTTAGTCACTGTCAGTCAAAAAATGTTACCTTGACAAAAAGTGCTTACAGTGAAGCATCAAATTCAAACATAAAAAGTTTTCTACATAGACTGCATTCCTACATACATTCCAAAAAAAAACCATTTTCTTCATCTCGACAATTGTCAAATAGCTGTTATTCCCAATCTTTCTTAATATCAATGGCCCATTCCCAGTCAAGGTAACTGATCTTGTCATCGTCGACAAACTTGCTCTTCAACGTGTAATGGCCTCGAGCAAGCATTCCCTTCGGTGCTTCATCCAATGGTGTTAAGTATTCTTGAGGATCTGCTTTTGGACCATAGCTTCCAACCATCAAGCTACTTTTGTCAACTGAAGCACAAATGTGTAAGCAAAAGAATGTTCACATTTGGATGATCAGTCATCAATAACAAAAGGCAAACAAACATCTCTTTTAGATGGTATACGTTAGTTAAACATGAAGTTATTCACTCGTACATTTTGATCTACTGTAATGTTGTCCTATACTTACCTCTTATACCTTTCCTGTAGGATACTTGATGAAACTTAAGACCAGCCACAATTTCACGCACCACCTGGAAAAAAAGTTATTATGAAGACAATGAATTATAAGACTTAATGATGAATATGAGGTATATTGAAAAGATGATTTATTGCACGGTGTGGCCACATTAAAGGGTTAGAGAAGTTTGCATGCAAGTGGACCTTATTATTTAAGCTTCTGCATCATAGGGCACTGATGATTAGGGCCTACAAGGATGTTATTGTTTACCAAATCTGGCCCCCTTGAAAGGTATCAATGTCTTGGAAACTTGATGGTTATAATTTTAAAATCATTAGTCAACTGAATTTGAGAAAAATATAAACAATAAGGTAGTAAATCTCATGTGGTGACATTTTATCCAAGATATTGCTACAGCACTAAAAGGGAGCTGCAACAAAGTCCCGCTAATTGTGTCTCATTGGCAAGTGGTCTTTCAATTTGAGGTTCTAATTGTTAGTGCTACAACACAAGTGTTTCTTAGCTTATGAGGAAGTCCAAATCCTTGAGTAAAGTGAACCATTCACGTGCCAAGGTCTTGACTGCATGGCATTCTTGGACAACAATTATCTGCAATGCCTCAATCATTTTCTAACCTCTGTTTTATAGATTTCTCTAGAGATCATTCTGTAACACTTTTCCAGCTGATGTAAAAAATCACTTACACTGTGCTGCTTAAACATTTCCAATATTTGACATCTTTAAGCATAATTGAGTACTCAAGTCTCTTCATAGCATGAATTTCACATAACATTTTTCTTTGTCTTTATTTTTGTTACAAAGGCAAAGGAGATAATAAAAACTTGTAAAATTCATCGATTTTCATATTCTGCAGTCGGGAAATTGCACATAACATTCACTTCAGACAATTTAGTAACTTTAAAAATATGGATGACACCTTGGACTCGTAAAAATGGTTGAATAAGAAATCTACCCAAATGAATTGCTGACATAAAAAGGCTCATCACTTAACAAAAGTTTATTTTTCAAATCAGATGAATAAAAATTAACTATGAAAATTCCCAGTGATTTCTCCTGATGAGCTCATGTCAAATACAACTACGAATCTTTATCACCACAAAACGAAGATGGGGTGTGAATGATGAAGAAAATGGCAGAATCACAACATCAATAGATAAAATTGAGAAAGCAAATAGCTGACCGAAAAGGTATACTTTGACACCGTGTATCGAACAAAAAACATGAAATTGAAATTACTCCAAAGTGACAAGTACGATATTACAGCCCGGAATTGTCATTACAATTTTTGGTACAATGTCAACACTAATATGCAGGAATTTACCTTAAATGTTATTTTGATTTTGTAATTGGTCCCCTCTTTGATGACTATTGGTTTCTCTTTAAGTTTGCTCAGGTCTCCTGCAAAACCAATGGTTAACGCGACAGACTGAGCTTGTCGGAATGCTCGAAATAAAAAGCTCCCTGTTCATAATACTTACTTCACCGTAATTCTGATCAGCTGGTAAATGTTGTCACGCACAATGTGCAACATAGGGCCACAAAAGGTCGCAAGAACAGACGTGATGGACAAGAATGCAACATTCCAAAGCAAAGACAGAACCAACAAGGAAACTTCAGGAACTACGATGGTGAAAAGAGCAACATACAAACCTGACAGATCCAACTCGATATCGGGACGACCTTCCACGATCACTGACATTTTTAAGACTTTGACGTTGGGACCGCCATCATCATCAGCTAGAAAATAGAGGGTAAGATATTACGATATGAAATATAATAATCAGAAAAATAAATACCCAATACTGAAATATCTCATGATCGTTTTGTTTCGGGATACCTGCTGTCTCCGCACCGGCGAGTAACATTTGCTTATACCTAACCAAAGACTCGTCCTCTGCGTCCAATTTTTGAATTTCGTCCAAAGTTTTCTGAGCGGGAGGCTTGTAACCCGGGGTCTCTTCTGGTTCTTCGTCTTCAATTGAGGTTGGTACTTCTTCTTCAGCCATAGCAAGTTTAGTCAAGCTAATATATATATATATTTCCTGATAGCCTTTCACAACCATCCACCGCCTGCTCTCTTCTCAGAGTTTAGTTGAACCACCCCGTGACGTCAGAAGCTTTTAGTATAACCAATCATTTGTGTTTTCATATCAAACTCGACGAACAACCAATGAGAAATCCTTTTCTATTTACAGGCTGTGATAGTCTTTCTTGAGTGTCTCTGCCCTTAGTCCACATTGCTCATGTAGATACAAAGTCTCCGGATGAAAATTTGGTTACTAACTAAAACAATTCTGACAAGCTTTTGGTCTATAAAAGGAGACGGTAAGGTTTAGGAATAGTGAGAACGAAACATGACCCGATAGCCGACAAAAGGAGATGAGGAGAGTCACGAGGAAAATGCAAGCTTTCCAATGGATGTTTCAGTATATTTTAATTTCTGAAATCTGTTGAGCCAGGAATGAACATTAAGAAAGTGTTAACTACGAAATAAAACAAATTTCAAAACATAATGGTTTAATCGGATAGAAATTGACTCCAATTCCGAGCTTCCTTTTGCAACAAATGAGAGAGTTAATCATCGAAGCGATCCACAATTCTAACCTTTATTCAGGGACACCTGGCCGCAAGGAGGGTTATATACAAGCTGCGCTCTAAGGAAAATTGAATGGAGCCCAGTGCTCTGAAACTGTGAAATCCAGGGTGCCCAGCATATGCTTTGTATGAAAAAACTAAGATTCCTCAGTCACCCAAGAGCAAAAGTAAGGCGCCAGAGGCCATTGGGCGCTGCTAGACCACAGCCTTGGTTACATAGGACGTCAAAAGAAACTATTACATGAAAAGCAGAATGCATACCGAGATAAATAATAATATTATTGGGAAGAATCACAATGGAAGCTCTGCTGAAGAGGACTAAAACGTATTTGTACCTCAGGGTATGACGTATCAAGGATATCCACACCGCTGGGTGGATATCGCCAATCCATCCATCCGCCAATTAATGGCCAATACTGCGTGACAAACCCTCAGCGGAAATAGACTGGAAATTTCCTCTCCTCATTCGTCTTCTTTAAAAGACACGGAAGTGGCCACTTAACTAAATAATGCCCAACGGTTCAGCTAATTTAACTACCAAGAATTTAATTGTTCCGTTTTCTTAACATTTGATTGGCAGTTCTTTCAAGCAAACCCTTGAGTAACAGAACCTAGCAGCTTGACATGCAAGGCAAAAGCCCCATTAAAAAGTGTAAGGTACCTTAATTTTCTCCTTGCATGGGGGGAAAGCTGAGATGGAACGGAAGACGAGGGAGTAGGCAGAAATGGTAGATTGATAAATCTGGGTGGTTAGAAAATATTGGTTGCAATATAATGAAGCTATCCTACCACACATTCAGAGTAGAACCTAATGAATCTTGTTTATTTAACTCTCTGTTTAACAACCCTTGAATAAGTAAAGAAAGAACCTTCACGACACAATATAAGAGACCACAAAATGCCTTTCTTTAATGAGAATTTTCAATTGAAAGCTTTTTTTCACTTTTTCTGTTAAATTTAACCTTCACACCAATAAATGCCATAAATAAAATAAAACAATTTATAAGCCAGGTGCCAGTGAAGGGTATATTATGAGTGTGAGTTGTTGACACTTTCAAAAAAAACTTTGAAAACCTATAACCTGTTTGAAAAGACACAAGAGTTTATAACATTACCTAACCAGAGGCCACAAAATCTTACCCTGAGAAAGAGAAACAAGAATCTTACAGAGGGATGTGGTTCACAGATGATTTTTCCTAAAATGTACCCTCTTAACTAATCTTAGTGTGACAAAAGCTTAATTTTCTGGAGTCCTGAACCAACTGGTTCATCAGAAACATGCAGTGGGAAAGTCTTATGCAAAGAAAACACTTTCTTACAAATCATTGAACAATATTAATATCTTCTGTCAGACTAAGGTAGTACAGAGCTAAAAAAAAAAAACTAGCTCCAAATAGTTTGGAAGTTTCCTTTTCAAACTGTCTGCCACAGTTGATTTTGTTTTTTTGGAAAAAGTTTATTACATTCTCCAGCAGTTCAAATTTAAAAACCAGATGAGATAGTTTACAGCTCATCTTTAGTTGCCTCTGTTTCATCAGTTTCTTCCTCTGTGCCTTCACCCTCTTCAGATTCACCCTCTTCAGATTCACCCTCAGGCTCTTCGCCCTCAACACCCTCCCCTTCTTCTTCTGGGGCTGGTTCTTCACCTTCTGTGGGTTCTTGGTTTTCCTTACCATCAGATTCAAGAAACTTGACAAAATCATCAAGAGTTCTGCCACCCTTGTAATCTACAATCTGAAACAGATTAAAATAGAAGCATTTTTATTACAAAGAAGACCCAAGGAAACGACTGATTCTCACAAAATACGACTCAAATCAGCTTCAGCTAAGATTCTCAGGAAACCTAACTAAAGAAAATTATCAAATTCATTCCTTTAGCATTTGTCAAAACAATCTTGTAATAAAAAAGGAATTAAACAGCTTCCACCCTATTCTCAAAATGGTCATAGGCATATCCACTAGTTTGGAATGAAGACATGGCATTGCAGTTTCACGGGGGTTACTAAACCCCTCAGACACAATCCATTAAAAAGCACAACTTATGAAAATTATGGGAAGTACATACAAATTTGTTTTCCAAATGTTACCTACCTCATCACTATCTTTAGGGAAGTATTTAAGGGTAGGAAAGCTTTGGATCTTAACACTTTCTACTTCATTAGCAGTGGAGTCCATCTTGGCAATGACAATATCATCACGGTCTTTGAACTTCTCTCCAAGTTCATCCCAGATTGGAGCTAATTTTTTGCAATGACCACACCATGGGGCATCTGTTGAGGCACAGGGGAAAGAAACAAATGTTGATTACAGATTACTAGTGTAGCACAATGGAAGGTGGAGCTAAAGAAATCAATAACACAAAACGAGGCTTAGAACCTGTTTTGACTGGCACAAAGCAAACAAGATGCCTATCTACACAAGTAGTTAAACCCTTTAATTCCCAGATGTGATTAACAAGTAACTTTGCCAATAATATCCATACATTATCTAGCTAACAAATAATAAAATACTCAAACTTATCAGGTAGGGTTTGTTATCTTGATCTAACAACCAACCTCTCAACTAATTACAGGGAAATGTGTAATACCTAGAGGGGGGAAATCAATAATAAATCCTATAGTTGAAAGGAATAAGAACACAACTTGGAACGTTAAAATCATAAGTCCAGTCTTTTTACCACTTGGGTCCCCTTCTGGCATGCACTTCGATGGAGACCACACTAACCCACACACTAAAGATATATCCACATTTTTACAGAAATCCTAAGAATAACGCAAAAAGAACATCACTCACAGAATTCTACAAGAACAGCCTTGGTTTTGTCTTTGACTACTTCATCAAAGTTCTTTCCTACCAGGACCTTGACAGGTTTGGCATCCCAATCCTCTGGGATTTCTTGACTGAGTAAATGAGGCTGGAAATCAAAAGGAATAAGAAAACTCAGTCAAGAGATAAAGATAGAGGCAATTATAATAATTATGTCACTGTCAACATGAACAATCCCCCCTTCCTATGCAAGTATTCAGTGCTTTACCCTAAGAATGACAGATTAAATTCACATCACAATTTCAAGAGGCAAGAAAAGGCAAGGGGAAGTAAGAAACTAATATAATTTTATCACAACTGCTACAATCTGATTAACTACACCACTTTGAATTTAATCATGCAACAATATACATTTTTCCAGGTTCTATATTGTAATAAAGCCATTTGGGATGTTTGGAGAACACAAGGAAAGCCTATAAATCATGAGCCCAAGGGGGGTGTTTCATAACTTAGGTTTCTGAATGTTCTCCCACCATCCTAGCCAGCTTTATCATGTCATTGAGCATGGAAAAAATGTGGTCTATTGCTTTTATGACATTACAAGTAAATGCTAGCTTTGTAACCTGATAACACATCCACTCGGAAACTGAATTGACCAATCAGAAGATGTGTACTATGTTCATTATATTATAATCTGTGATATATAGTGTAAGTAGCCTGGGTAAATTAGCGGTGTGCAGTTGAAAAGAAGACAAAATAAGAAATGTAAATTTGCCTTTTCATTAAGTTTTCAACAACTAATGGATTTGAACTGAAACAGTTTGATTATTAGCACTCAATTTCTATGCATAACAATTGATTTAAGATTTGCCCTTACCAACTATCACATGATAACAACCTCAAACCCATGATGTAATTGTTCCATAGATTCTCCAGTAAATAACAAAATTCACTGTGATAACATTCAGATATTGAAAGATTAAAAGTTTGACTAATAAAAGCTGTGGATTTATGAACATAAAAACCAATTACAACTTAGAGGGAAATCATTACCTTGAGTGATCCATCAAGAACTGAGGAGACAAAAGCCTTGACATTTTCAGTGGTAATTTCAGTGGTTTCTGCCTTGTATTTAGTCATGTCATCCTCGTCCAAGTTGATCAGCCGGACAGTAGGGATTTCCTTAGCATCAATTCCAAAGAATTCTGAGATTCGGCTATTGTCTTCAACATCAGTATCAACAAGCACGAAGAGAACTTGGCCTTTAAATTCCTTAGCTGCTGCTGAAAATGCATCATAGATAGCCTGGAAATCTTCAGCCTTCTTGCTTGCAAAGAGCAGGACATGCTTCTTGATATCTCCCCCGAAGATCTTTGGTGCGTTCTAGAGGAAGTTAAAATGGTGTTTGTTAATTTACTTTCAAAGCCATTACAACTGAGGGTGCTTAGTAATACTACGTAATGACCAGCCAGAAGGTTTACCTCAAATGACCTCCTTTGTTTGCGAAAGATCTCTCCAGCTTATGGACAATTTTGACAATGCCAGCACAATTTAGTAATTGTTGGGCACCCAAAGACTGAAATAGTGTTTCTTCATAAAAAAAAAAAAAGGGCCCTGTAGAGTCTAGATCTAACTTTCATAACTTTTCTTATGTTTTGCTACTCTATCGTATCAAAAACCCAGGGGTGATGGCAAGATATTAACTCTTATCAAAGGGGAATCATGGGGGCTTTTAGATGGTAACAAAATATGATTAGAGATCTTGCCTCATCATTGAATTCTGTCACAAGAGGCAGTTGGTTTCCTTTGACAAACTTGATGATTTCTTCAGATTTGTGCTCTCCATCATAGTCAGCACGTCCTTCATCAAACTAACAAAAGAACAAAAAACACTGATTGAGAGGGATCAATAGAGAAAATTTACCACAATGCAATTGAATATGATCTCACATTATCCACCCACAGTTGAACAAGTTGTCTAGAAATCATCTGAAATTCTGTTGAAATCTACCTCATACAAAAACATCATAACAAAAACCATTTAAAGTTGGGTCTCAATCTTTTACATGAAGACTGAAAAATCCAGTTGAACTAGTCCTCAATATCTAATGTGACAGCTTGGGGTAGGAAGGGGAGGAATTTTGTGTATTTTTCTAGATCAACATACAATATGTTAAGCATTACCTTCTTGAAGAGAACCAGATTTTCTACTGCGCTGTGTTCCTTAGCAAGATTGGCATCATGTACGATTCCAAACTGAATGTCATCCATACCCTGAGCAGCCTCAACGAAAGCCTTTGCAGCATCAGATTCTTTGTCAGTATAGAAACCAACCACAACGACATCACTCTTTTCTTTGAAATCCTTAACTTCATCTGCAGTTTTAAGTTCTACCGCTGGGGGTCCAGTTTTCTTTTTCAACCAAGTGATGATTTCAGCTTCTGTGCGGCCACCTGTTGAAAGCAGTTCCAAACATAGAAATTTATGACTACAAAATGTTCTACTAGACAATATTTTGAAACCCATTATTACTGATTGTTCAAAGCACAAACAAATCAAGTTTATGGGAGCAATTTTGTTTGGTCATAAGCACATTTCAAAGAGACTTTTCAACCCATAAAAGTGTTGAGTTGGTTAATTCCTATTGGCTCTAAAAAATGATCAGTGGTTGAATCTAATCTACATAAATCTTTGAAACGAAAAAAACAAAACAAAGGATAGATGGATTGCTATAAAAATTTGGCAATGATGAATCATCACTATGCAAGGATGATCATCATGTGAAACAATTTATGAAAGATGTCAGCTGCTACTCAACAAGTTTTCCTGTTCTAGGAATTGAGGAAGACGTAACTTAAAATGCCCCCGCTACTGAAATATGAACGTCCAGTCGACATATGTTCAATTAAGAAAAGTACATCGTCACTGTACGGTTCTAGAAGAAAACCCGGAAAGTTGGGCCGAATTTCTAACTTCCACTAACTACAATTTTCACTGTTTTTGAACTTCACTCTAATTTAGTATAAATAGGGCTAGCAACTTGAACAAAGAATTAACTAGCCGGATCGTTTTCACAGAAAAATCCTTGCAATAAACACCGTGTTTGTTCAGCTAAGACAAGAACCTTTTGTATTTCCAGTATCTGCCGAGATAAGAAAAGGATCCTCAAAATTTCTAGTGTGGACCGGAAACACGAAGGAAAGAAAAAAAAAAGAGCGAGCAGTAAATATTATGAAAATGAGACTAATTAGATTGGAAATAGATAAACGCTGCCAACGACCTAATTCAAAATACTTACCATTGAATGAAAAACAGAGAAATTACTAATAAATATTTTAAAAGTCTGATAATAACATGGTTGCACGTGTAGTACTACAAGTTTACGCGTTTCGCACACGAACATTACAAATGAAAAACATTGGCTTCAATTCAAACTAACCCGAGTATTCCACCGGTTTTCCTGATCTGAAGAACTTGAGGGTAGGATATCCCTGGACTTGGAACTTTTCGCCTAGTTTAGTTTCTTTAGTGGCGTCAACTTTTGCAAGCTTGATGGCTGAGCCTTCTTCCTTGAGTTTTGCCGCTGCTTTAGCATATTCTGGGGCAAGAGCTTTGCAATGTCCACACCATGGTGCATCTAAAACGAAAACAGATACGCATGAGTTTAATTTGTAATCTTAACGTGTTCTCAAAGTGACCATATAACAAACTTACACTCAGAAACGTGTACGTAAACTTACAAAATTCGACAAGAATATGCTCATTGTCGCTTACAGCTTGATCGAAAACAGCTTCGGTCAAGACTAAGACATTTTCTTCTTCTTCGATGTCTGCTCCAAATGAAAGAGCAAAAAAACTGAGGAAAAACGTTAGATAAAACTTCATCGTGGAAAGATTCTTGCGTTCACCCACTGCTGCGACTGTTCAACTTAGAGGATAACGAGCATAAAGGCAAGTACGTGTAACTACAAACCGGAAATCAATTTACGTACCCGTCGTGTCTTGCCGTGATTGGCTTAAAGGATAGAGCCCGCGAACTGCAGTCACGGAAGTCAAATCGAATTGAATGGTGACACGTTTGTGGAAAGTGGAGATAAGAGGACATTTACTTAATTTAGTTGATACCAGCTGAATTCACACGTAACTTGTGAAAAAAAAATTGTGAAGACCGAGATTGCAAAGAAAACAAAGTAATTCTTGTGAAATTCTTGGTAACCTAAGCGATGCACCAACTGGTCACAGAATCGGAAGCAACCTTATTTTGCATATGTGTATATGTTCTTTTTCTTTTTCTCTCGTCAGATGTTTGTACTTAACATCTTAAGTGTATATTCGCGCGGGCGATGAGATCTTAGTTTCGGTAATTGTTTAACCGATGAATTCTGTGAAATACGAAACTAAGAATAAAAACTTAAAAACTCATAAGTACATGTCAGGCACTTGCATCAAAAATACATTCGACCAGTTTTCGGTTTAAATGAAGTTTAAACACAGCTGTTTTACCCTGCTCTTTTTTCATCAGATCATCAACAGAGTTTGAAAAACACAAATTAAACAAAGTGGTCTTGTGCTGTTTTAGTGAGGAACCAAGATGACAAATGACTTATCTTTTAAACATTAAATTCTTTCTTATCGTTAAACCAAATCCCTTTTTTAAGTTCTCTATAAGTGATCAATACGTCGAAAAAATTGGCTTGAGAAACGCTTCGACAGTTACCAGAAAAAAAAAATGCTATGAGCCTTTTTACTTTATCTCTCTGCACGTTTTTTTTTTTTTTTTCTTTTCCATCAAACAAAAACATTGATACCTCAGAACAAAGAGTCTTGTTTATTCTGATTGAAGAACAGGCCGAAGTTGTTCAGAAGACGATTAGCACATCTCCAGATCAAAGGAGGATCGAGAACCTTGATCCTTCCGTAATTAGATTTAATCGTCAAGGAATACGGTTAGGCCGTGCGTTATGGATTGTCCTGATATATATTTTAGCATACTTGGAAAAATGAGAATAATTCTTGCTCTTTTTATAAAAGTAATACTACAAGCAAAATCATGTAACTATTATTTTTTTTAAGGGAACAATGCCAGAGTCATGACTTTAAAGTTCGGTTCTTGGTTCAGTCTAATTTAAATTCAACAATGTCTTCGGGGAAGAAGGTTACCGCAATACGAAGTCATTCGTCGTGTAGCTAGTCTTGTCACCCAGACCTACATTTCACTGAGTGACAGATCTTGGTGCGAGATAACTGAAAGTAAAGAATGCGTCTATACTGTCCCAGTTCTCCCAGTTTCTGCTTTCACAGGAAGTCCATCAAACATTTTGACACATTAAGGAACCGCTTCTAATAATAATAATATATTTATAGAGCGCTTTAACTATTGATCAATATTCAAAAGCGCTGTACAATAAGAATATATATCAAATAGACCAAAAATCACAAATTAAAAGTCTTTTTAAAGAGAAAAGTCTTCAGTCTTTTTTTAAACATAGAAATACTGCTACTAGATCTAATAGTCAGCGGTAAAGAATTCCATAGAACCGGCGCAGCGTGGGTGAAAGCGCGACCCCCAAATGTGCAGCAGTTGACTCTGGGAACTGACAGAAGAAACTGTGATTAACTAGTTTTATAACCGAAATGATATTTTAAAATTATGTTTAGAGGAAATTCTGGATCACAATTTAATAACAAGACATTTTATCAGAAACTTCTAATATGGAATATCAAGTCCAGCAGCTAATTATGTTTTATCAGAGCAAGTATGTAACTCAAAATAAAGAAACCATCATGCTTTCTGACAATACGTCTATAATTAGGATTGATTTCGTTTTTCCTTTTATGAAGATCACTCTTAAAGAAAAAATAGCAAACTTTTGGCACACATTACTTTTGCTCAACGAGTTTTCCTTTACAAAAGACTGGGACAGAATACCTATGACGCATGGGATCTGGGGTAGAGACTGGTTTTATGACCGAAATGATATTTTAAAACTATGTTTGGAGGAAATTCTGGATCACAATTTAATAACAAGACATTTTATCAAAAAACAAAATCATGATAACTGGGTTATTCATCAAGTACCCTTTCTCATTTTTATTTCTTTTTTATTTGCATCGTTTTTCTGGCGTGAGAATAGGTGTTCTGACGAAGCAACGAATAAGAAACGTGGAAATAGACATATCCTAATTTCAAATTGATTTATTTTTAGCAATAAAAGGAATTTCAATTTCCGTTTTTTGATGATCGAGTTGTAAACGACGAGTGTTTTGATCTTAATCATGATTAGATCACATGTTTTCTAACGAATTAAATGCAACACACCTTAAAAGAGCAGAATTATTATCCGTCGGTGGAAGGGAAAAATTTAAAACAATCTAAAGGTTAAGTCCCCACTCATAATTCTTTTCATTTCCAGTAAAACTGGAACTCAGGGAAGTGCCTCAGTCTGAGTCTTCCACCGATTATTTAACTATAATTGTTACATAAATAATCTAATCCAATCAAATGGTAAGAAGAAAATAATGAAACTGTCGCCATGATGGTTTATTTCCGTTAGGCAAGCGTTGTAACTGTCTTTTGAATTATCGACTGATCTCTGGAGTGTGTCGTTGATGGAAAATGTAACAAACCTAAAAATTATGGGTAGGAAGACATTCTCGCAACTTTTCATCACTCTCGCCGTTGCTTCGTGCATTTGTCATTATTGTTGTTATTTAAAACCCTTTGCTGCCTTGAGAACTGTTCGGTAATGGATTGTAAAATAACTTAGAATATCACCCAATTAAGGAAAGAAATAACTTTAGATTACCAACATTGGCAGAAAAATCACATTGCGATGTAGAGATTAAAAGTACTTTAAGGGATTCTTTTTAAAGGAAAACCGGAATTCGCTATTCATAAACTAATGTAGTGGCAAATCAGACCGCTTTTTTACATCTTCGAACTGTTTACGTAAATAGCAACACGGTATATTTTCTTTTCTTCTTTTCTTAATCGCAATAATAAAAAATGTGTTGATGTCGTTAGCCGGGGTTTCTACCGAACTGCAAAGAAAAGTATTTTAAGAAATGTTTTCGTGTACGGCATGCTAAAAAGCACGGAATTGCCGATGGTTTTCAACCATTTAAGGAAGAGAATTATCTAGATCGTTGGCACAGCGACAAAATATTCCGGAAGCATTTGACGACCAGACTACCAGAACTTTTCTACAATAGATGCAAATACACTGAATAAATAAACAAATTGACCAGAAGACCTGAAAATGTCTTACATATATGTATATCATATGTAAAATGGTCATCGCTGGAGTTTCGGTCAAAAAAATTCAACGTCACATTGAGTTTCAGGGAATTGTTGCAAGCAAATCGAATCATATCCGTATACATTCAGCTTACGATTTACTACAGCAGAAGACCTTCAGTTACACCTGTAGCTATAGATTACCATTCGTTTGTCGTTGATCCGCTCTCTGATTGGTTCATTTTTCATGTTAATTGCTCACTTTCGTTGACTTTGTCTGTGCTGCCCAATGAAACAGCTCCGAATTAAAAACCTTTGCATGACCATCAGGCATAACAGAGAGCGACCGTGAAAGAAGATCGAAAGCTGAAGCGAAAGACAAGCTTCAGGAAGCTTGTAAAACAACTTTCTGGTGAACTATGGACAGAACACAGATGTTGAAAACCGTGGAAAGCTTGAGAGATCAGCTGAGAATTTCGCGGTTGCCGGTTTCTATATGCAGCAACGAGTAAGTATACCATGATCTTGTCATTTAAATTTGTAAATTCACAAGTTTAAATCATGAAGCGAATATTAATTTGGGAGACGGTCCATAACGCCGTTTATCGTTTTCCTTTTAGATTTTCGCCAAAAGATTATGCCTGGAAATTATTTTTTGCGGCTTAAATATCCACAAAGTTTCCTGCAGCGAATGTATTTGGCTAAATAGTGTGTTTTTATTTATAGAAGTAAGCAATTTTATGGGCGGTTTTTTCCGACGGCTTTAACATTGCGAAAAGCCTAATCTTGACTACGACTGAAACAAAAATCAGTGTTCAGAGATTCAAATCAAAATGTGTGTGTTATTCCCAAGAAAACAATTTAATTTTCCGTCTATTTTTTTATTTCTCTGGTTAAATGAACATGTACCCTTTATCCTTAAATCAAGGATACCACAAGCTCTACTAGGAGTGAATCCTAGCTGCAACCTGCGTTAACAAAGCCTCTCAAGAGACAGGTTGAATTTACTTTTTGTTTGTGAAAATTGTGTTTTGCCTTGAAGCTCTCCTTGAATGAAATCCTTGAAGAGGACAGCTGGAAGATATTTTACTCTACCTGAGAAGAAAACCCATCAAAGAGACCTTCGTTTTCACCGGGCGCTTCTCATCGACACGTTCGAATCGCGATAATATGAATCCTTCACGCGCTTTTCTTTAGAACGGGTAAACTTTATGATCTTTTAGCGATACAGTGATTGACACTTCTTCTTTAATTATTCCTTTCAGGCTAAAGGAGTATTGCACACAAAATGGCACAAAAGATCCCCTTATTCATCCACCAGAAAGACGGGAAAATCCATTCGCGGAGAAACAGAAATGTACCATACTCTGACGAACCAAAAAAAAAAAGACGAGCAAATCGCCAGAAGAGAGGATAGACGTTTTCTGTCTCAAATTAACGAATTTTTAGCCAACTATTGCATTGTTGTTATTGAGAAGTTTTTAATTAAGCTGAGGGTGGACAGTCGGTAACGCTGGTTATGCATTAATGATGATCTGAGAGAGAGATCTTTTATGTGACGACCCCGATTCTCAATGACGAGTCATTGATGTCCCTGCATCCATCCTTGACATAATTGAATATAAGATACATATGCTTGTTTTACTGCCCTCAGCTTTTGTTTGTTTTATATACCTTCATTGAATTACGGCTGAATTTGAAATTGTTTCCATCCTTCATGTAAACGGTGGACATCTCGTCGATTTTGAGGAAAAAAGTGGTCGATGTTGTTCAATATTGAAAGGAAAAAGATCTAGTACCTCTGAAAACTTACCACGAATATTACTTGGAGTATGATTTAGAGTAATTCTTATTCTGAAAAAAAAAATCATTGTGATGAACATTTCACTAAATTCAACATCTTCAGGTTTACATTTCAATTTCATAACTATTTCAGCTCGAAGTTGGGAATAATTTTACGAATAAATTCAGTTCACTGAATCAGGGTTAGTTTTTCATCATTACAATAACAAAAGACATAGGTATGGTTTTACGGCCATTTAAGAAAAGTAAGTGATTGTAATAAGCAGTACTGTCTAGACCTTAAATACGCTTCGGTCGGTTCCGGCAGAAATATCAAGAATTGCTGGATTGTAGCTTCAAGTTATAACGTCAGGTAACAAGGCAGCAGCGAAAATTAGGCTACATGCGCCACCCAACGCGTGGTTATGACTACAACGTAGACAAAACAGTACCTTTTTGCAGCTGGCGCTCGTCCTGGGTTTTGAAGAGTTCAAGTTCGATTCACGTAACGTGATCATGCGGATATCGCTATTTTTACATTCGAGGCGTTAAAACCATATCATCGTTGAGCCCTCTTAGAATCATTTCCTACGCCAGACAAAATTTTCGTCTTAAGATGCGCTTGTCACCTTAAGGTTGGTGTGTAATAAAAACGGAACAATCCTACACAGAATCGTCAATGAGCTTACATGCAGTCCATGAAGTTTTAAGGAATCTGTGGAACATATGGTTCCAATCATCATAACTTTACTGCTTACACGTTTTAGGTTCGTGTTGTGACGTCGCAGTAATGTTAAGTCCGCCATAAAATGATTATGTGAAATTACCTTCTCCACTAAAGTATATTTTGGTATCATCTCGGAATATCTTACAAGACTAATTGCCGACTATCAAATCAGTCAGTTTTATTAGAATAATTCTTACAACCTCCGGTTAGGACCAATTACTTCAGCAAAAAAGTACAAGTTAATTCTAAATCTCTACAGGATGGGTGACTTTTAAATAATGTTTTTGCATTTTCACAAGCTAACAGAGGCGAAGGAAACTCGGGGAGTCCGCGCGAAAGAAGAGAAAATGAAGGAAAAATGAAGCCTAGCTGATCTGCTGGATTTTAATAACCGAAGGGGAAATTCTCTCAACTGAGGCGGTAAAATTTTAAACAAGTGCAACTAAACTGGTTTTACTCGTTTAAATCACTTCCTTTAAAATGCCAACTGCACTGCAATCAGAAATTTGTGACAAAAAGTAACTAACAGTATAGCATTTTAGTGACATTGTCTGCTGAAGGAAAAGGCATACTTATCGCTGAAGGCAAAAATAAAAAAGTGTAGGAATAATTCGCGGCCTAACACACCTAATCATTCTGGGAACGAGGGCAGTCCTCGTTGAATGGGAAAAGTTGCCGTTAATATTTCTCTTATAGGGAACAAAACATTAATTCGGTTCTCAGCATCTAATCGTCATAACATTAAGAATACATTAGGCTAAGGTGAATTATAACTTAAGATAAATTTCTAGAAAATTTGCAGGAAAGAGTCAGTTTACATGAAACCAACGACTGGCTGCAGCGTAACGGCGGGAAATTTCTCAATCGAGCGATACCCATCAGAAAGTATGTAATGTACTTTCGTCGTCAAAATGGAACATCAGCTGAGAAAACTAAGAACTGCTCTTGGCTCGTCAAGTTTGCGTTTAATGTAGTATGCAGGTATATTGTAGGCATTCATCAAACGTGTTGCAAGTTGCCGCAAAACACTGGGTAGGGAAAAACTGCCGTTTAACCCGTACAGTGCACTGTTATTACTTGCAACAGTTTTTACTTTTAAACGATGATTTCAAAAGGAAATCTCGTCCGTATTACTCGGCAATAGTAAGCCAAGAAAATCCCCACCTACAAAGAAGTATTTCAATTTTCTGGATATAGTTATTTTTTGCTTCAACTATAATTCAGTTTTTTCTTTGTAGACAACCTTGTTATCTCCCGGGTGGCCTCCCTTCACATGCTGTTGTTTTTGTGATTTAATCCGTTCCACCAACTTCGCTGTGTCATGCTTGGAGCGTTTCTGAAGGGGATCTTTTGCTTTTTTACTTCTGTCTACACCTTCACATATCTTGCTCAGCTTGTAACAAAACTCTTTCTCTGTGTTAACGCTATCAACCCCTCTCAGGTACAGCTGTTCTATGTCTTCTTCATGTTTCCCTGTTAAAAAAAAAAGAGGTTTGTCTTTATAAAATTTCACCCTTTCACAAGCGACGATTTTGCTACTGATTAATTGCTAAAATGTTCGCCAGCCAAATTTTTTCTGAATTTTTCCTTTTAATAATGCACAATCTCACGGATGTTGTTCAGGATTATTTTGCTAAGTTAAAAGCTACAATCTTGTAACTTATAATTCATCTATGACTTACCTATTAAAAATCTGCAGGCTTTGACAAGAGTTATTGGTGAATATCCATACTTATTTAAATGTTTTGATCTGCAAACATCTTCTATTGCCTCTACCACCTGTAGCTCTCTGGGGTCTGAACTCTTTTTTGCCAAAAACTTGTCCAGTTCTAAAACAAAAAGTATAGAACATTGTCCTTTTCTTTTACCCATGGTGCCTCTTTGTATGAAAAATTTGTGGAAGAAGGAGGGCCAACATCCAATTCTGTTTTCAAGATAAAGGACCCCTAACTCAAATTTTCACTGCATGCAAGTAATACTTTTCCTGACCTAATTAATTTTTTTATTAAATTTGTTGTAGACTTGAATAAAATATGATGAAATATGAATAAATTAGTATCATTTAGTAGATGCAGTAAATTGTACATGTTTTTTGAAATTAATTTGTATCAGAAGCAGAGTGAAGATTATTGTTTTTTTTTTAGTCCTGTACATTAAAATATTAATTAAAAAATGGTAATCATGGAAAAGCTAGCCTCTTAAAGCATATCAGTGTAATTGAGTCATCTTTAGTTAGTATATAATAGAGGAAAAATCAGTCATATGACATAACTGTTGCACATTACTTGGTAACATTTTGTCCCTTGTAATATTTATCTGGTGGTATTTCCCAAAGGTTAAAATTTGATCAATAATCACTGAATTTTGACTGGTTAAGTAACAGATCAAAAATTGTAAGAAACATACAGACCTAAAACAGTTAACATAAAAAACAAATTGCACTGAAAATTTACCTTTCATAACAGCGCAACAACTCTCACAATAAACTCCTGAGTATCAACATAAAAAAAATTAATCTCAACGAAAACTCAAAATGAGAACTAGATCCAAGTATGGTCAAAAGTAAATTTTGACTGAATAGCTATTTATATTAATGTATTTTCAGGTTAGATTAAGATTTTCTGCTTACTTACTCTGAAAGGAATTTAATTGAAAAGCACAAACCTTGGGATATATCTGGAGGCAATATCAAACCAGATATGGGAAGGCTCAGCACTACAACCAAAGTTATTCTACCTAGAGTGAACATTTTTAAACCTAAAAAGAAAATAGACAGAAACACAAGATGGCAATGATGCTATGATCTGACACATACTATTGGATTATTAGACTTTTAGCCTAGATGTTAATTTCATTTGGGTTGTACATTTTGATTCAATTACTATTAAATAGTTTGATAATGAAATTTATTTTAATATATTTTTCAGTAATTTACTCAAGTATTGCAATGTTTCACATTTCCTAGTTTTTGTCCTTACTGACAGGAAAAGAAACCATTAATATATAAAGTACTGTAAGACTTTAAATATTGCAGTTACAAAGAAAAGGAAAAAGATAGATGAAACAACAAAAAACAGAATAAAAATGCTACAACGTTACACAGAAACTTTCTTCTTATTAATTAGAAATGAACTGCTTGGAATATTTGCCCACCAGCTAAACCATAGGGCAGAAATGCACTTGCCTCTCTTTTTGTGTTTAAATGCACATAACTTTGAAATAACTTTGAAATATATGATGTACAAGAATGTGAGACAATTTTTCTGCAAAACTCTCATCAAGCTAATACTTTAAATACTCTATTAAGCCCCCTCTCTATTAAGCCACCCCCCTCTAATAAGCTCTTCCCCCTCCTTAGAGGAAAAAATTTATTAAGCTTCCCCCCACCCCTCCACCCCAAAAATTTATTCAAGAACTGTAATTTTAGTTTGTCATTTAAAATTGATCATGGTGATTGATTGATTGATGTTATCATGCTGGCATCAATAAAATATGATTTACAAGATGATTATGAAAAATCATGCAACTCATTTGACTCTGCCAATTTGGTAATGAAAAAAATGTAAAATGAGAACAATTTTTGAATAAATACTGTACCTCATATCCTATTATATTCTGGTAGCGAACATTGAGCTAAATTAGTAAGCCCCCCCCCTGCAAAGTACCTGAAATAGATAAGTCCCCCGGGGAACTTATTAAAGGATTTACGGTACTTTGTTGAGTCGTTTTCCACAAAGATAAGAAAGCAAGTTTGAGTCTAATACTGACATAATCGAAAAGTTGTGGCTTACAGACTTAAGAGCACACGAAAATTCATGGTCCATCATACCTCTTTTATGTGAAGGGTCGAATGCTATATTTCGGTAGCAGTCGACACACTCTCAAAATTTATGCTCGTGCATAAATAACTAATGTACGACTGACTCTCACCTGTGATAATTGTGCCCGATGGCTAATAGGTATAGAATAACGCAGTCTCCTAAACAACGGGGTCTTTTGTAACTTCAAGCCGAGCTTTGAATGAATTACCTTTAGGAAGATTATGACAAAAAAATGACTAAAATAAAGCATAAACATGGTTACTAACCTATTTCAAATTAAAATCAAGGGTAGATCTAATGTATAAATACCGGAAAGCCTGTGCGCACTGAACTCGATCGCGAAAGCTGATAAAATTGCAATAACCTAGTCACAAGAAAAATGACTGAGGTCGATCGCGAAAGCTGATAAAATTGCAACAGCCTTAAGTCACAAGAAAAATGGCTGAGGTCGATGCTGACCAGCCTGAAACTCAACCTCTATCCCTTGGGACTGTGAATAGAGAAAAAACTATTACAAAGAATAAAGTATACAATACCTGACTGAAAACTATTTCAAGTGCGATTGAAAGCAGGACGAAGTGACATTCCGGAAGGAAATGTCACAAGCAAAGTACCCTACTGGTTTGAGACCGCGTTGCGTTAGTTACTTGATACGTTAATTGAATTCTGGTGGTTGCCGAAACTCGGAGTGATCGATCTCGGTGTGATTCAAGTGATCACGGAAAATGTCTGGAAATCATCCAAGGTACGGCTTCCAAGACCGCGCAGGGCAGAGAACATCCAAAACATCACCGAAAGTTTTTCCATTTCCAAACGTACTCCTCCCAGCCAGCTTCAGGATTCCATGTCCTACTACTTTATAAGCCAACTCGATTTTAGGGCTTCGAATTCGCTCGTTGTTTCTGTTGTTTTGCCGTCCACTCATGATGTGGGCAAAATTCGAAGAGGTCAACGGAAATGATGTAGTTCTCTCATTAGGAATTAAACATTTATTTCATTTTCAGCTTTTAATTTCCATATCGTTTATCATTATGATACTAATCAACTAACGAGACTCTTTACGATGCTTGATAATTATCGTATTGTTGTATTGTATAAATATCTTTAAAATTTGCAGCTTGAAGATATTTCTACTTGACCCGCATTAATTGTCAGTGAGATGTCACATCTCATTATGAGCCTCTCATTGGTTGCAGTATCCAAAGAAAATTTCACTGCTAGACACGATATGTCGGTCAACACTCAGTTGACACTTGGTTGACACTCGCTTGACACTAAGGTGAGAGTCTATAGTTACCCAGTTGAGAATTGGTTGAGTGTTAGCTGCTGTATTAGCTTATGTACATCTCAGCCAATATATCAACCAGCTATCCACTGAGACTTGACCCAGTATTGGCCAACTATCAACCGACCATCGACCAAGCGTCGACCAAGTATCAACCAAGTGTCAATTGAGCAACTGAGTGTCGACTTACCATTGACCAAGTGTCAACTGACTGATGACCGACACGCCGACCAACACATCAGCTGAGTATCAACCAACTCTCAACCGTTATATCAACCCATATATAGTTTTGCACTTCAAATTGTACATGGGTGGATACACATTAATTCACCAAATGTGCTCCAGGTTACTGCAAGACTTTTTGCAAAGCAGAACTTTCCTTTACCTAGCATGAGACACATGTGGTAGTACCTTGTGCCTTTTTCTTACTTGATGGAAGTTGTTTCAAAAGAAAACATTCCCTGCATTGCTAAGCCTTAAAAATTCCTGCGTATATAGAAATATATATTAATTTGCTAGGTGGACTAACTTTTTGTGTTCAACTATAATTCAGTTTTCACTTCAAAAGATTTCTTATCATCCTCTTCTCCAGCTTCACCATTTTCTTTGTCTTCATTGTCTCCTTCCTCTTCTTCTTCTTCCTCATCATCATCCTCATCATTTCCCATGCCACCTCCCATCCCCTCCTGTCCCAGTTGTGATTTAATCTGCTCTGCCAGCCTCTCTGCAGCTCCGGGATCATTAATATCCACATTCATGCGGTGAATACCATCATCATCTTTTGAAGCTGATTCAGTCTTGACCTCCTGAGGCTGATTATTGAAACGGTAATTAAGGGGTTCTTTCTCTTTTTTACTTCTATCCACACCTTCACATGCTTTGGTCAGCTTGTAACAAACCTCTTGTTCCGAGTTATTAACATTGTCCATCAACAACTGTTCTATGTCTTCTTCATATTTTTCTGAGTAAAACAAAAAAAGAAGCTTCCCATTGAAAAAAAATTAACCTTTTCACTCCCAACTCATAAATATCAATTTCCCCTTCTCTCTAACAGACCTTATCTATACTTTAAGCTCTCAATAAAATGAGCCTATAATGATGACTGAATTTTACACTTTCAGTTTTGTAAAATATTACCACAGTTGTTGGAATATTTTGCTCATGTATTTAGTAATGACTTACCTATTAAAAATCTGCAGGCTTTGACTGTAGTTGGTGGCGAATAATCATATTTTGAGAAATATTTTGTTTGGCAAATGTCCTCCATTGCTTCTACCACCTGCAGCTCTCTGGGATCTGAACTCCTTTTTGCCAATATCTTGTCTAGCTCTAAAACACAAAATAGAGACCATTGTGTTTTTTCAGTTTTTGCCTAAGTTACTGTTGTTGCTAAATGAAAGTACTGATGAGAGTTGGTGGGCTAACAGGTAATTCTCTTTCCAAGATAAAGGACTCCTGTAATTGTAAAGGACAAAGCTTTACTAAAAATGTACCTTTCATAACAGCACTACAGCCCTCACAAAAAATTCCTGAAAAAAATGTGATGACAACAGAAAATCAATTTGGTAATTCTCCATCATTAATTTTAATTAATGTGATCTAAGTATGGTTAAGAGAAAATTTGGGCTTAATACCTTTTTTTTTTTCAACAAATTTACCTTGATCTTAGGTTGTTTCATTTTGTCAGGAGTAAAGCTAAAAAGTGATAATTTTTTGGCATGGATTCAATAAATATTAGCATGCAAGATCTATTGATGATTCAAGGAACTTTTGAAGGGTTTTCCAAATAATGATCCAAGCAGAGACTGGCTGTTTACCTCAATAGTATACATATGTCTTGAGGTTACTTTTTTGGATAACATTTGACAGCTCTTTTGATTTTAATGGATCTATTTAAGAAAGGTTTAAGTACACACCTTGGGACATATCTGATGGCAATTTTACTCCAGAAACAGGAAGGCACATCACCACAGCTAGTGCAATTCGACACAAAATATACATGTCTGAACCTGAAAAATACAAACACAATGTTACATTATTTTAATTTCTACATGTTCTGATTTTTTGCCAGATGTTCAATTTTATTTAATTTAACAACAACAAACATATGAAACATATGTATGAACTGCGGTTATGAAACGTATATGTGCACAATCCTTCGCAGTAAAGCACTATTTGAGCAATAGTGAAAATCAGACCTGAAAAAAATTTCAGGCCTGTACGGGATTCGAACCACTGACCTCTGTGATACTAGTGCAGCGCTCTACCAATTGAGCTAACAAGCCAACTGGGAGCAGGCCATCAAATTAATTCGACATAAACCCGTAGATGATAAATCAAACAACAACAAACATATGAAACATATGTATGAACTGCGGTTATGAAACGTATATGTGCACGATCCTTCACACATATGTACAGGCCTGAAATTTTTTTCAGGTCTGATTTTCACTATTGCTCAAATAGTGCTTTACTGCGAAGGATCGTGCACATATACGTTTATTTAATTTATAAATTTTGCTTCTGTCTTCATTTAGCAGTTTGATTCTGAAATAATTTTGTTTTTCATTTCTTTATCAAAGCAGTATAGCATTTGATTTTTTTTCTCAGAATTATAATAAAAAGTAACACATACAAGTTACTTTGAAATTCAATAGTTTAAATCAAATCCATGGAATGTTTTCTTATCAGCTAAACTGGCAGCCAAAGTTAACCAAATTCTTATGTTATAGCTAAATATCAGGAGAATTAAATTACTTCAAACCATAATTTAGATGTAAGCAAGTATACCTTATATATTAAATCATTCAAAACTTCAGTCTCACCAAGACTGTGTTAACTACCAAATAGATAACACAGTACAGATTTGAAAGCAGATTCGAAATGATTAATAATTGAAAACTTGTGGCTTACAGACTTGTGGAACACAAGAATTTAAAAGTAATTCAATTTAAACCGACCCTTATGAACTTTTGAAAGTGAAATAGGTCGAATTGTTATATTTCAGAGATGGAATCACAGTAATGGTCACCTACTCAAAATTTCTTTCTGTGCACTCATCGGATAACTATTTCATGAGTAAATGTAAATGACACTTAGTAAATTATCTGCTCTCCAGCCAATGGGTGTAAAACAACGCAGCCTTTCAAAAACAAAATCTTCATCTGATAGATCGTGAATCCAAGCAGCTTTAAATTATTGACTTTTTAGACGTTTTGGAAAAAAATACAAAAAACACGAGGATAGTAATCACCTTATTTCAAATACAAATTATGGGTTGATCCATCGATCAGAAACAAGAAAACAAGAAAGCTTGTACGCATTGTACCCGAGAGTAGATGAGGAAAATTATTTGCGAGCGGGTGACGAATCATGTAGTCCCGAAAAAAATATAAAGCTAGATTTATCGTGCCTATAAAATTTAACGTCTGTCCCTTAGGAAATTACAAGAGAAAGATGGAAATTAGAAAATGTAAGTTATACATTACCAGCACGAAAATTACTTCAGTTGCGATTAGAAGCGGGATGGGGTGACAAAGAACCAACAATGAGATTAATTTATCGTGAATAAAGAATAAAGAAGACAAATTTGACCAGGCGTTCTATGTACTTTAATGCGATGAACTGGTGTCTAGTTTCAAGTTTCCAATCCGGGCATCTTGATTTCATTTCGTGTAAACATTTGTTTTTATAGCTTAAATTTGACGCGAAATTCTTTATTTTATGCCGTTTTAGGCTAGGTTTTCATCATGGCAGGTGCACAAGTGAAAGAGGGTGAATACACAACCACAATTTATGGAATGGTGAGTGGTTTTTACCAGGAATGTATCATAGTAAAATGATGGTCTGTTGTTTATAGTGGTTGCTCGGGAACAAACAGAATTTTGTCAATTTCGGTGGTAACACTAAAAATTTAACTGAATTACTCCATATTCTTTTGAATAATGGAGTTTTTTATATTGGTGTGGTATGAGTAAACAACCGCACCAAATAATGTGCGTTTGTCCCAATAAAAGACGGAGAAGACTGATATGTTGAATAACTTTCAAGTCTTGTAACTTTGAAAGTACAATCTACCTCGAGAACACTGAAAATGGTTCTTATCTGCCGTAAACAGAATGATGTATTTAGAGTGGAAGTTAGAGTGACAAACAGGGGATATTCTGGTCAATTCTGCATGGAAGATCACTTGTTTGGATTAAGGATATATTAGTTCTGTAGCAAGGTCTTATATTGCTTTCTGGCCTCTGTTGTTTGAATAAAGTTTAAAAATAATAATAATAATAATTTAATATTTATATTGCACAAATTAACATGTGGATATGATCAAATGCACATCACAATACTTTTCAGGGGACTTTGGCCAGACTGCATCAGCAGTTTACAAACAATCGAAGGAAACGTATTTGAAGATGCCCCCTCCCCCCAGTTCCCAGAGTAAACAGGCCAGACCACATCACAGTAATCTCGTGAGTGGGTTCTTTAATGTCCCCTGCCTAACCAAATTAACTAATTAATAGATGCAGGAGACGGGACCTACGGTTTATTCGTCCTTATCCGAGAAGACTAGAATGTCTATCCATTTCTTGATATTATAGAAAGGTAGTGCATTCTCCTCAGTTATTTTAAAACCTTGAGTGTTGGTCCGGCCGGGGCTTGAACCATTAACCTCAACCTCCCGCATAAAAATCCAGCTGTCTAACCAATTGAGCTAACCGTGAGGGTATACAGGGCATAAATCACTTACACCCCTGGTCCCAGTTGTTCAAAGGATATATGATATTATTAAGAACTAGATCATTGGATAATGCAATTCAAGACTTTTTATTGGCTTAGCCATTATGGTATATCAGCCAATATACCATAATCTACAAATATGGCAAGCGTATGTGTCACATTAAAATTAAAAGGGAGCTAAAAATTGAATAAAATTCAATTTAATTTAACGTTTTTAATAAAACAATTATTCCACTCGCGCTTGTTGGATATGAGATGATTATAGCCAACGAGGCGCTACGCGCCTCGTTGGCTATCTATCATCTCATATCCAACACGTGCTCGTGGAATAATTGTTAATTATCAATTGGATAAATCTCTGCCTTGCACTGTTCATTTTATAGTCTGAATTGTGGGCACTTATCAGGAGGGAAGTATTTTTTTGTTGTGGAGCCAGGTTAATTTAAGCCCCTTGACCCTTTGTTTATATTGATTAATTCCTTGGACATCCCCTTCTCCTTTCCAGGAAGTCACGTAAAGAACTGAACTTGTTGAAACTAAATCTGTTTTGATTAATTTGTGTTTTAGATAAAAAACCAAAAATTCCATGAAGCAATACAAATTCTGTCACAGGAGTTGGAAAATCATCCCAAGGTAATGTTATTGCTGTCACTAAGACCCTAAACTTCTAACAATAGTAAATTCAGATAACTTTACAGAATCTGTCATTAATGCATTATAATTATACTGATTGAATTTTCTATTGCTTAAATTTCAGTCCAGAGCAGCCCTCTCGCTGTTAGGCTACTGCTACTTTCAGGTTCAAAGTTTTGATGTAGCAGCTGACTGGTGAGTACTCTGCCAAGTTCTGCTATTTCTTAACCCTTTACACCCTAACATCGGCATGTATATTCTCCGTACTGTTCTCTATACATTTCCTTGGGTGCAGACAAGGAGAATTTGTCTAACAATCAAGAGCTTGTTTTGTTGGTGACCATTTCCTTTATTCTCATGACCGTAATGTGTGATTCAGGGATGATATGTAAGGAGAAATTAGATGCTAGTTCCCCTTAGGGCTCAAAGGATTAGACCACCTGCTACACTTGAATGCCTATCTTCGTCTAAGGTTTTCACGGTTGGGAACAGAATTCTAGCACAATATTGATAATAGGGGTCAAAAGTAAAGTGATGAGTTTTATCTCTTGCTATTGCAGTGAACATAATTTAAACTGGGTTAAGACCTCATTAGTATGGAGGTGCTGTCAGGGAAAGGCTTGTTGAAAGAATAGTCTGAAAGACTATGCTTTGAAAATCAAGAAACAGTTTAAAGTTGATACATAAGCACTATGAAACTACTGACCTGTTTAAATATTTGACACAGTCTTAAAAGGTTTCAAATGAATAAATTAAAGTATTTTCTCTTTTCATTCATTTCCTACCTCTGTTTCAAATTCGTGATATATTGAAAGTGTATGTCTTGTCTTCATTAAGCAATCAAATTGACTGTAGCAGTTGCTAACAATGTATAACATTGTCAGTAATGGTTTAATCTTGTTTCAAGCTATGGTCAGCTGACACAGATTCACCCAGAGGTTGATGAATACAAAATGGCATATGCTCAGGTTTGTGTTACTGGCATTGAAGCATGATTTCAGTTTGCTCAACTAGAGTTGTCCATGTCTTAAGATATTAAGCAGAATCATATGGTCACAAAATTTTTAGAATTGTATTCATGACAATAATATATTTTTATTCCTTTTGCAGGCATTGTATAAAGCTTTTATGTATCCAGAGGCAATGAAAGCTACATTTCAAATTGAAAATCCCACATATCATGGAAAGGTACCTAATACTGTCTCCTTTTAAATTTGAATTAAAAATATTAGAAGTCTGCAAGATGGAGTGTTTTTTGTTCTTGTGGGACTGAAATAATAAAATTTCAATGTGTAAAATGCTTTGTACCAATAGTTGTAAAAATTTAATATGATTCTGTCATAACCTTAGTATTTGTATATTGCAGTCATGGTGTGCCTGTGTGTTTACACACTTACACACTTTACACACTTTATTTTTCTTTTTCTTACAAAATAATTTAGATTATGTTGACCCGCAGATAGCAAATTTGCTATTCGAGGCGGGTCAATCATCAACAAACATTATTTACAATATATAAAGAAAATTAAAAACTAAATAATTAGATATTGTTAAATTATAAAAAGAAGCATAGCTGGCAAATACATCAATAGTTGTTCAATAAAGTATAGAAGCAAATACATTAGTACTGAAAGCAATCGGATCAATTTGTTTTAATTATGCAGTCCTTAAGTTTAGAGGAGATCTTTTCAACATCAAGATAAGAATCTTCATTATCTAGTATCTGAAATAAAGACGTTTTAATTTGTTTATTAAAGGAATGTTTTGATAACGTTTTGAATTCTTTCGGTATCTTATTCCAAATTTTGACACCAACACGCGAGAAAGCCTTTTTTTGTAGGTTAAGTCTAGAGTACTTTGTACTAAAGAGCTGCGATTTGGATGATCGAGTATTGTAGGTATGAATATGAGATGTTTTAGTAAATAGTTTCAAAATATTAATGGGAGCCCTCTGGTTGTGCACGTCAAACATAAGTTTACTTACGGCTTCATAATATAGGAACGTAACAGGCAGAATTTTTGCTTTGGCAAATAAAGGGATGGCATGCTCTCTTCGATCGGTGAAATAGATTAAGCGCAAAACTCGCTTTTGAAGAACTAAAATCTTGTTTAAATAAGCATTTGACGCATTGCCCCAGGCAAGGAGTCCATAAGTTATATAAGGTAGAATTAATGAATTGTAAATATTTACAAGGATAGTAGAGGGAACGAAGTACCTCAGCTTTGCAATATTTACCTGTGTAATGTTTACCTGTCTCTCTGTGCAGGTACTGAAGCTTCAGGCAGCTATCAAATATGGTGAAGAGGATTTGCAGGGGGCAAAGGTGAAGCACAGCAACAAATTAAATTCATTTGATAACTAACTGTTATGTGACCCAGACAACTACCTGCCTGTGTCAAACCTTAATCGAATATCAGGCTGAAACTTGTCCCAGTCCAAACACAAATTAGAGTACTTTGAGTATTGTTAAAGTTTTCATATTCAGGTATAAATGGATTTATCACTGATAACTAAAATAACTTTAGTTAAAAATTGATCATGGAATATGGATGTTAATTTTAGAGTATGGTGGAGCAATGTGCTGCAGATGATCCTGACACTGAAATCAATCTTGGATGTCTTCTCTACAAGGTGATGACATGTTTTGTAATGAAAATGTTAACACACAGTTCAGTGCACCTTTGGATAACTAGTTAGCATTACTGACATCCAGTTTAACCTTAAGGGGTTATTCTGTTGTTAATAAATTGTCTGTTGCCCGAGACCTGTCATCAACCAACATGAATATTATATTTTACAGGAGGGAAGGTATGCAGAAGCGTGTCAAAAATTTCAGACAGCAATGAATATACTTGGCTATCAACCAGGTAGGAAATCTCTCTTTATTTTAAAGTGAGAGAAAAGCAGAAAGGAGAGTTGAGAAGGGGGGTGTTTGTTAAAATTTTGAAGGACAGTTGTGAATTTAAAATATTGCTTTTTGGACAGAAGTTGAATTGACCACCTCAGTTGCTGCTTAGAAGATTGCTGACGTTACTGTAGTTTTAATCTGTGTGGCAGAAAACAATCCAGTTCTTCAGTTGCTAGCAGTCTATGTTCCTAGTCATTCACATACTCATGTAATGTTTACTCATCTCTTTTTAGACTTGTCGTACAACATAGCACTGTGTTTCTACAGCTTGAAGCAGTATGCACCTGCATTGAAGCATATTGCTGATATTATTGAACGTGGAATCAGAGAGCACCCGGGTAAGATCGATCACTTTATTGCTGGATATTTATTTTATGTAGTTGGAAATTGTACTCTTGGCTGAGATTTCCCAGTTTTTACTTGAGTGTGTTTTTTTTTCTGATCATGACTATAATGTTGATTTAACAATATTCTCAATGTGTTTATGCTGATATAACATTTCAGAACTTAGTGTTGGAATGACTACGGAGGGTATTGAAGTCAGAAGTGTGGGGAACACCAAGGTGAAATCATCTAAAAAATCTTCATTAAAGTTTTTTTCTCTTTCGTGTGGATTTTTTTATAGTTGTGGAGGGGGAATAGACCCAATTTATGTTAGGAGGAGGTGGTTGGCTCTATCTTTTCTCTGATGGGGAGGGGGGAAGGAAAGGTTGAGACACTGGCTGGATTGAATTAAGAGCATTGGCTGCCACTAGACAAGATTAATCACCTCTTTACTCCTAAGATGCTAAGATCAATTTCACGTTAACTCTCTGATCTATAGATTTCCAATAATTTGAGCTCTGAAATTTGGTATTAGATCAAACCATGTTTTAATTTTGTTCTTGATATGAGATCACCTTTGGACATTATAATGTTCTGATATTGGAAGAATTTCTTTTGGGCACCTCAGAGAATGAAAGTAAGAAATTATAATGATGTGTTTGAATACAGTTTGCACAGTCATGTAATTATAATTCATTTGGTATGGTAATTATTTTTTAATGATATATGGCCCAATTACAGGTGTTACATGAAACAGCTTTAATTGAAGCATTCAACCTTAAAGCAGGAATTGAGCACCAGCTGAAAAACTGTAAGCTTCTTTAAAGTGTTATCTCTACTGCAGTTTTTGGTATCAAAAAGGAAATTTTTTGATTACAGACACATTGAGCTATATATGGTTGAAGATTTATTTTGTTTGCTTTTGTTTGTTTTTTTTTTTGGTTTCTCTATTTTATAATTGGTGATGCGACTTATTAAACTGGATATATTGTACAATGTTGCAAAGTGTGCACTAACTAACTGTGGATGATGGCTTATTTTGTTGACTGTTAATTTTATCGCAGTTGACTCTGCACAGGAAGCACTCACTGATATGCCTCCAAGGGCTGAAGAGGTCAGTGCACTGTCTTCACATACTTAGGAGTGATTTTGTTTGGGCTCCTCTGCCATGGGCATAGAGTTCTATTTAATATTTACTAATAATTCATTAGATAAAGAAGAGAAAATTTAGCTTGAGTGTTAAACTGTTTGAAATGAGGAATTTAGTAAATAATAATGTTAATCAATATTGGGCTTGGCTCAAGCTCATTTAACCTAAAGTTGCAGGTAATATTGTGGTCTGATGTATTTTTCGTCTGACATCTATAGATTTAAGCTATAATGTGGGTTTAGATTTTTTCTGCTATGTACAACAAACTCAATTGTGGTTTAGAAAAATGCATGCTTAGCTCTAATGACAATTTCTCTGTAAAATTTAAAGGAACTGGACCCAGTAACTTTGCATAACCAAGCACTTATGAACATGGAGGCCAACCCAACTCAGGTGAAATATTTTTTTATAATCAGAAAAGATTTGGTAGTTTACATGTATTAAAGTTCTTGTGTCTTAATTCTAGAAATTGTAATGTGTTTACAGGAGGTCTTAATGAGAGGTCAGATAGGGCTCTATGAGAACAAAAATCTACTTTCTTGTTTTTACAATACTACAAACAATAGAGGAATACAGTACACATGTAACTATAAGTTGCTGCAATGGTAAAAAATCTTGTATACAGTCAATAATTCTTACAGTTCTTTTCTCTCCTAGGGCTTTGAAAAGTTACAGTTTCTGTTACAGCAAAATCCATTCCCCCCAGGTTAGCTATGACATAACTGGGAAATAAAAGTTTTGTAAAGTTTTTCTTTTCTTGTTTTGGTTGGAATTTGGATGTGTACTGTTATCTTTCTTTACAATAGTTACTCCCATTGTAATTTGATAATTCTAAATATTTGATTTCAGTTTGTTGTTTCCTTTAGATTCCAGTGCTTGTATTTTGAAACTCTAAAATCACTGAGATATTTGACTGATAAGTAAACTTAAAGTTAACACCGTTGTAACTGCACAATACTGTTACCATCCTAAAAGGCTGTTGTTCTCATCTAAACAAAATGATATATTATTTTTCTTTCTGCTGTTATAGAAACTTTTGGAAATCTTTTGTTATTATATGTGAAATACCAGGTAAGAATGTTTGTTTTGAATATCCCAATTGAAAGTAGCTATAAGGTAGGAGTCAAGTAAGAGAGTTAGATTTCTGATTTATTTGAGGACTCAAAACAAATCAGAAAGATAGATGGGCAGACAGACAGACTGACCAACAAACAGACAGGCAGACACACTGATAGACAGACAGACAGACAAAGAGGTAGAAGGTACATGAGTATTCCATAAAACGAGTATTCCATAATATGACAGGGTGCACTAATGTCATTTGACAATACTTGCTGTTAACTTTTCTTCACTGTAGTACTTTGACCTGGCAGCTGATGTGTTGGCAGAAAATGCTCATTTGACATATAAGTTCCTCACCCCAGTAAGTGAATTAATTTGTCTGTATTTTTGTGTCTTCTCTTTCTTCCAAACCTTAACATAGCTTCAATGATTGTTTTTATACAAATTAAACATACTGGTATATTGATTAATTATTGGGTTTCTTGACTCTTAGCAAAAAAATCCCAAAATATTAGTGGATCTGAGAAAAGTACAGTCTTACTACTACTTTAGTCACACTTCCAATCTTGATTCCACTCTGTGAGTTACTCTGACCTGCTGTTTGAAAAAAGAATTACTTCATCAATAAATCAATCTGTTGTTTCATCTTCCTTACAGTATATGTATGACTTTCTGGATGCTATGATTACACAGCAAACATCTCCAGAAGAGGTTAGTATTGTAAGTTCCATTTAACCACATATTTGGAGGGCAGCCATGAAACAAAACCCAATTAGGGCTTCCAAAGAGTTTTACAGCACTAACCCATGAGCTTTTGTCATGGGTACATGTAACTATGTGATGTATTAAGTGTAACTTCAGGACTGCAACAAAATTATTGATCCCTTAAGTTTGTAATAGTTTGTTGTGATTTCATAGCCTAGCTTAACTTACTGAACTTATCTGGTTGATTTGACTTCTTTTTCAGGCTTATCGCAAGTTAGATGATATGGCTACAAAACAGACAGAAACTTTGAGAAAACTGACCAAGCAGGTAAGTGTTTGAAAAGATGGCTGATTCAATTGTTATTATAAATTATTTACTTATGTGGTCTATGTTGAATAAAGGTTCAGGAAGCAAGACAGAACCATGATGATGACACAGTGAAGAAAGCTGTCAATGAATATGATGAGGCTTTGGAAAGGTACTTGACAACTCATCATTTTTGCTTGTTTGTGCATTGTTCCCTTTAGCTGCTGTTTGGTCTTTACCTGCAGTGTTGTATAAGGGTTTGGTTATATACATGACTTTGTACATTAACTTTAGTAACTGCATAGTTTTTTTTTTTTTTTTCATTGCTGTTTGGAAAGATTGGGGAGTTTTTCCAAGGTGAACACTAACAAGAACTTGTCATGTTTTGTGGTAGGTACATCCCTGTGTTGATGTCTCAAGCTAAGATCTACTGGGATCGTGATAATTACGCACAAGTGGAAAAGGTATGAGTGAAATGTAGACAAAAAAAGTTGTTTTTGGCTGACCAGTGTCATGATGCAGTTCATATGGCATTATAAGTGGATAGAAACGTATATGTGCACGATCCTTCGCAGTAAAGCACTATTTAAGCAATAGTGAAAATCAGACCTGAAAAAAATTCAGGCCTGTACGGGATTCGAACCACTGACCTCTGCGATACTAGTGCAGCGCTCTACCAATTGAGCTAACAAGCCAACTGGGAGCAGGCCATCAAATTAATTCGATAGAGATAATTCGATGGATAGACCAATGGAATTGTAATCTGGTGATCTTGTTACTTTTTGGATTTTTCCTCCATTGCCCAATTTAACTCCTTGGTTAGCCACTTGGTCTCCTTCTAGCCAATTGGAAGTTTTTACTTGAAATTTATATTTTGTTGAACTAGTTTACTTTGCTTCCCAAAAGCCCCTTCAGGGGCGGACAATAAACTTAAACTTCCATGTAGATACTATATTTGGTCCATCTGGACCTTGGTATGATGTGATTGCAAAGATACTGTCAGTGATAAATTATGATATCTTATGCTTGAGCATGATTTTAGGAGATTCATTGCAGTATTAGCATCTTGACAGAGTTTAGCCTCTATCTTCCAAGTTTGTAGTTTTTAATCCAACGTGATTGTTTATTACCTCTTTCATGGTTTTTAGTGTTTTTCTCTCTTACTAAACTCTCATTGAAGGTTTCTATCAAGTTTAAGGTAGTCTTGTTTGTAAGCTGCTTAAAACATTTTGTATATCACGATTTCCAACTGTAACCTCTCGAGATGAAGTGAAAACCCAAATCAGATGCACAGTCATTCTAACGAGACTGTGATGTTACTGTGAATGAACAGTGACTTCATCAAATTAATTTTTGTTGATCTTTGCTTCATCTGCAGATATTCAGGAAGTCTGTTGAATTTTGTAATGAGCATGAAGTTTGGAAACTAAATGTGGCTCATGTGTTGTTCATGCAGGTAAATTATTTTTTTTAGGTACATAACTTAGATTTTCTTAACCCTTAACTCCAAAGATTTGATTGTCAATTCTCCCCTGTAGCTCTTACACATTTAGTTTCAAGAATTGGGTGCAATATCAAGATAATAAACTATACCTGATATCAACTGATAAGTCTGAGTATTCCCAATTAACCAGTTTACTGGATAATGTATGGATATTACAGAGAAAAGTTACATGTTAATCTCTTTGGGGAGTTAAAGAGTGAATTTTTTACAAAAAGGAGAATTTTTTATGAAAAGTTTACTAAATATTCTAATTGATACCATGTTAACAGAACTTGGAAGTTAAGGCAGAGGTGTTATTCATGTCTTTGACAGGAAAATAAATATAAAGAAGCTGTAGGATTTTATGAACCAATTGTGAAGAAACATTACGATAATGTAAGTATTGTCATTAAAAGGAATTCTCAGTGATAACAATACTAATAAAAGTGCCTAAAAACCTAGATAAGAAGTTTGAAGGTGACCAATTATCTGGAGTGTGGTTGACCTCTCTTTCTGACGTGCATTTGATTATATTTTAATATTAATTTGCCTGCTATAAGTAATAAAATTATTATTATTATTATTATTATTATACTGTTGCTTTAACAACCTTATGGAGCCAGTTAATTTAGAGAAGGGTTTGAGTCGAGTTGTAAAATTTTGGGACTGTCAGATTAACCTTTGTTTTTGTTTTACTTTCAGATTCTGAGTGTAAGCGCGATAGTGTTGGCGAATCTTTGTGTGTCATACATCATGACCAGTGCAAATGAAGAGGTTTGTTTGTGTTTTGGCATCGTCGTCTTTGTTGTTGCTGTTGTTGTTGTTGTGGTGGTGTTGGAGTTTCCTCCAAGCGTCTGTCAAATTACAATGGTGTAAGTTGTTTTATTTGTTGTTTTCTTACAGGCGGAGGAACTAATGCGAAAGATTGAGAAGGAAGAGGTGAGCTTTGAATATGAGTAGCCTTGTTTGAACTGTTATTAGAGGGGACCTTCATATGGAGAGATTTCTTTGAAAACTTTTTCTCTTTTGTAGGAACAAGTGGCTTATGATGATCCAGATAAGAAGATTTATCATCTTTGTATAGTGAACCTTGTTATCGGGTGAGTACAAAACCATTTTTCATTTGTCCAAGTAGTTGTGGAAGCTATCGATAAAATGTTGTGCCACTCACCACGACGTTCCTTCTAATAAGCTTCTCTTGTTTCTCTATTAGGACCTTATATTGTGCCAAGGGAAACTACGAGTTTGGGATTTCCAGGATAATGAAGAGCTTGGAGCCATATAACAAGAAGGTATGTTACTATTTGGCGAAAGTATTGATTTGCCAGTATACTTAATTTCTTCTTCTTCTTCTTCTTCTTCTTCTTCTTCTTCTCCTTCTCCTTCTCCTTCTCCTTCTCCTTCTCCTTCTTCTTCTTCTTCTTCTTCTTCTTCTTCTTCTTCTTCTCCTCCTTCTCCTTCTCCTTCTCCTTCTCCTTCTTCTTCTTCTTCTCCTCCTTCTCCTTCTCCTTCTCCTTCTTCTTCTTCTTCT